GGGTGTTTTGAGGGGCAAGTAGGGGGGGGTGGTGGTAATGGCAGGGTGGATTAATTGGTTGTGGTGACGGGGGGTGATTATGGGTGGAGGTAGTGGTATTAGGATGGGTTGGCAGGGTGGCAGTAGTAGTAGTGACAGTGGTTCGTCACGCACCGCCCCAAGCTGATATAAAAAGCCAGTGAGGTGGTGTATCTGAGGCATAGAATATCACCTCGTCAACCATTAAACATCAACGAGCTCCTTCCCTCAGTCACCCAACCTTGGATATATAACACCTGCTACTGCTACTGCTACTGCTACTGCTACTACGGGGAACATCATTTATCAACAGGTTAGATCTTCCAATGTCACTCAATTTTTTTTTTTTTTGTAGTGTTATCTGATCTTTCAATGTTACTCAGTTTTTTATTTTACCTTTCAACCTTACCTGGTCATTCTACCTTACCTGGCCATTCAGTGTTACCTGGCCATTCAACGTTACTTGGCCATTTAACGTTACCTGGACATTCTACCTTACCTGGCCATTCAACGTTACCTAACCATTCTACCTTACCTGGCCATTCAACGTTACTTAGCCACATTCAATGTTACTTGGCCACACTTAACGTTACTTGACCACATTCAATTTGGCCACATTCATCATTACTTGACCACATCCAACGTCACTTTACCTCAACATTAGTCAACCTATCTAACAAATCTGCTAACGTTTTTTAGGAAAGTCTTCGAGGTAGTAGATAATGACGAAAATTACGATGTTATTTACTTAGACTTTAGCAAAGCATTTGACAGAGTACCGCATCAGAGGCTTCTGAGAAAAATTAAGGCTCATGGTATCGAGGGGAAAGTTTTAAATTGGATAAAATCATGGCTCACCGATAGAACGCAGAAGGTCAGCGTAGATGGTGTTAAATCTGAGTGGGGCCGTGTAACCAGTGGGGTTCCCCAGGGGTCAGTACTAGGCCCACTCTTGTTCATAATCTACACAAACGATCTAGATACTGGGATCAGCAGTGACATAAGCAAGTTTGCGGATGACACCAAAATATGGCGGCAAATTAATTCAGGGCAGGATAGGACTCGGAGCAACGGATTCAAGTTGGATAAGTTTAGGTTTAGGAGGGAGATAGGAAGAAACTGGTTCACAAATAGGGTGGTGGACGAGTGGAACAAGCTTAGCAACTTTGTAGTAAGTGCGGGAACTCTGGAAAGCTCCAAAAGGAGGCTAGATAGATTCATGGATGTTAGAGAGTGGTAGTAACTCTCGACAGGAGCTGCCATGCACAGGCCAACCGGCCTATTGCAGACTCCTTATTTTCTTATGTTCTTATGTTCATATTACCTGACTTCTCAACGCTAATCAAGTTCCAACATTGCACAACCTTTCCATATTAGTCCACCCATATAAGTTCACTATTTAATGATAGAGAACGACACAATATAATAAATGATATACCTGCAGCAACACCTGTCAATAGTCCCCAACAAGAAAGGTGTTATCTTATCATACTCGTATCTAGCAGGTAAGTATGTTGCTCATTTAGTGTGTTGGTGAGTGTGTTGGTGAGTGTTTTTTACTGGTGCTAATAACTGATTCGGTATGTCGTATTTAGGTTATTATACAAACATATGTACACCCACAAATGGTTAAGCGAGGAACAGCCTAACAGCCAGTTGCTTTAAGGTCATGAATTGTGTGTCAAAGTAATAGTTTATGAATTGCTTCTTATCATTTAGTTAGTCTTCTAGTGGCCAATTAGGGGTTGTATTATCAGAGGATTATTTGAGCCACACATGATGTGATAGGCTATCGTAAACTAACTGTAAACATGTTATCTTGATTACCCTACCCCCTCCTCATGCATCACCCCCTCCTCATGCATCACCCCCTCCCCATGCATCACCCCCTCCTCATGCATCACCCCTCCTCATGCATCACCCCTCCTCATGCATCACCCCTCCTCATGCATCACCATCACCCTCCTCATGCATCACCTCCTCATGCATCCCCTCCTCATGCATCACCCCTCCCATCACATCATCCCTCCTCATGCATCACCCTCCTCATGCATCACCCCCTCCTCATGCATCACCCCTCCTCATGCATCACCCCCACCCCATGCGTCACCCCTCCCCATGCATCACCCACACCTCTCCCCACCCTCTTGTCTTGTCTATCAGCTCCACAACTGCGTATGTGTGTGTGTGTGTGTGTGTGTGTGTGTGTGTGTGTGTGTGTGTAACCTAACTTACTTTAATTGCTAACCTAACGTAACCTAACGTAACCTAACCCAATCTAACCGATTTTCTAATTTATACCAACCTAACCTAACCTAACCTTACCTATCCCAACTCTAAACTACGAAACATTGACTCAGTGGATCATAATCACTACACTACTACCTCGTGGTCAAGGGCCTCAGGAGACACCACAGCGCTTAACCTGATTAGAGAGAGAGAGAGAGAGAGAGACCTCCTCCTCATTATCAAATTCTCTCACCTGTTGTAAACCCTTAAAAAAACTATCCTAAATTGCCATAAAGGTGGAAACAGGTACTCATTATACATTTAGTACAGTAATAAATAAAGCATTATGGGGAGAAAAAAACAAAGTCCTTTATTATTTGGTGGTATAAATTTTGTTTTTGTTGATTTTTTATTTCCTTTATATGTGTAGAGTAGCTGGAAAATTTATACGGTTAACCCTGATCTATTTCTACCTTATCCATTTATTCACACACACACACACACACACACACACACACACACACACACACATACACACATATATATATATACACACACACACATACACACATATATACACACACACACACACACACGTAGGTAGCAGGTAGTAGGCAGCTACCAAACAGGGAGACCAAGGTTGCTGATCTGACTTTCTGCTGCATTTACACACAACTGCAGGGTCTCAAATGTTTCTCTTACTATGACAACACAACATACTGTACAGTACATATATTGTTTCTCACTTCTGAACTTTTTTCATTTTTGTACTTCTTTATTTTTATTATTTATTATTATTATTATTATTATTATTATTATTATTATTATTATTATTATTATTATTATTATTATTATTATTATTATTATTATTATTATTATTATTATTATTATTATTATATTTTTCGTCTTCCAGGCCCCGATGTGGGTCAGTGACCTGTACCCAGGTGGGCTAATCCCAAAAAAAAACACACACCAAACTGCATTAACTTCCCTTACTGTATCATTAGGTGTCAATTTACAGCTGCGTAGAGTATAAATTAACCCGGAATCGAACCAGTGATCCTAAGGTCAGGAGTCGAGAGTAGTATCCACTTAGCCACTGCATCAACTAGAACCAACTATAAAACCATATTTAGTGTGTAGAAGTTCTTACCTTAGCTTAATGAATATTCCACAGGATGCTTCGTTCTGAGGCTTCCACGAGGAGGCTTCACTCATCAACATTCCTCTAGTATAAGATCGAGTTCGCTGTCTCTGCTTCCCATCTTCCTAGAAAACAAATAGAAAAAAAATCATATATAACACCTAAATTAATGCGTAACTTCTTCAACATTCAACCTCTAGCGTTCTCTGTGTCAATTAATATGCACCTACCTCAACCTCTAGCGATCTAAACCTCAATTAATGTACCTCAACATTCAACCTCTAGCGATCTATCACTACTGTTCTTCAGAACCCTGTTGTAAGTCCTGTGACACCAAAAATAAGGGTTGTGTGATAACTCACTACGACCAACATCTAAGGTTAGGATATAAGTACCTTTGGCAGTATGTTCCTCAAGCAGATGTAAACAAAACTAAATGTAAAGTGTGTGGCCATACATATGGCCACTTTCTGAACACCATACCTCGACTGTGTGAAGATAGAACCTTGGACAGGTCCAACACACTGTGAATGGCACAACACTTCATCTCTAATGGCAAGATAGCCGACATATTAAGATTGTATCCACTTTTTGCACTTAGTAACTATATCAATTCTCATGTACAGAACCAAATACGCAATGTGCTTGAATACCTCACAAAATGTGAATAACAAAGTGTGAGGCCAGACATACTGCCTCACACGCCTGTACTCACGCATTTGTGAATAAGTTACCTTATATAGAACTGAACAAATAATGTAAATGAAATAGTAAAACATTCAGTGCCATAATATCCTGACAACGGGGGTTAATTATTATGACCTTGAACCCTACTCTGTAATCCTTTGCTACCGCTCACAGGATGAGTGTAGTATCAAAGAAAGCTGCTGCAAAGCAAAAATCAAAATCAATGCCAGTCAATCTGTGTTCCTCCTCCTATCTCTCTCGCCCTGTGTCTCTTTCTACCTGTTTCTCTCCTCCTATCCCTCACCTTTCCTCGAATCATCAAATTACCTATCCCTCAGTCCATAATCTCACCATCTCCTCTCTCAGACGAACTTCTATCCTCTCCTCTCCACTCCTACCCCCCCTCTCTCTCTCTCCCCTCCAACACTACACTCCAGCATCTCGTTACCACCACTCACTTTGCCTATAGGACGGACGCAGGTGCAGGGTGGTTGTACAGCGTCTGAGCTTGGCCTACAGAGTCATTCTGTCGGCTTCGCTCCTACCAGACAGTCGTATCCCAAGACTGCTCTCTCCTCCCTCCTCTTTCAACCTCTCTGGATACGTTGTCACTGGTGCGGTGTTGTGGTCGCTTAACAGACAAACATTCACACATAAATATAAACATATACACACGCTAGAAGAACTATATCAAAGAAACTATACAGACGCCAGAACACTACCACCACCACACCCCTACCACTACTACTGCACCACCTCAACACCACCACCACCACCACACTCACCACACTGCACCACCAACACCACCACCACCACACCCCTACCACTACTACTGCACCACCACACCACCACCACCACCACACCTACCACTACTACTGCACCACCAACACCACCACCACCACCACACCTCACCACATACTGCACCACCTCAACACCACCACCACCACACCCCTACCACTACTACTACTACATCACCTCAACACCACCACCACCACAGAGAGCAATTGTTATTATACATCACCTGTGGATCTATACCTGGATTAATACCACCTGTCGACAGCTTATAATCACCCAGGTAAGTTGATGTCATTAAAGTGTGTTATATAATTCTCTACTTAAAATCTTATACCAGCTGTTAGTGATTACAAGGAACATAAAATACAGACGAGACAATTTTTTTAAAGAAGTTGAATATATTTACATGAGTTTTCTCTATAATGTGTTCTGGACTAGCGAGTGGTGCCAGCGAGAATCAACGTCCCGAAGTGTAAACAAACCCCTAACTTACTTTATCCAGGGTTAATTGTACCTCTTGTGGTCTGTCTGTCTGTCTATTTGTCTGTCTGTCTGTCTGTCTGTCTGTCTGTCTGTCTGTCTCCTCAAAGGTGAAATATGCTGGGCTGGTTAATCTTCCCATCACTCCTGAGAGGTGTTAAGTGTTGGATTAATGTAATCAAGTGGTTTAATCGCCTGAAACACTTATAACTGTCTAAAGTGTTGAAGTAATCGCCTGAAACACTTATAACTGTCTAAAGTGTTGAAGTAATCGCCTGAAACACTTATAACTGTCTAAAGTGTTGAAGTAATCGCCTGAAACACTTATAACTGTCTAAAGTGTTGAAGTAATCGCCTGAAACACTTATAACTGTCTAAAGTGTTGAAATAATCGCCTGAAACACTTTTAACTGTTCAAAGTGTTGAAATAATCGCCTGAAACACTTATAACTGTCTAAAGTGTTGAAATAATCGCCTGAAAACTTATAACTGTCTAAAGGAAATAATCGCCTGAAACACTTTAACTGTCTAAAGTGTTGGTGATCGCCTGAAACACTTATAACTGTCTAAAGTGTTGAAGTAATCGCCTGAAACACTTTATAACTGTCTAAAGTGTTGAATAATCGCCTGAAACACTTATAACTGTCTAAAGTGTTGAAGAATCGCCTGAAACACTTATAACTGTCTAAAGTGTTGAAATAATCGCCTGAAACACTTATAACTGTCTAAAGTGTTGAAATAATCGCCTGAAACACTTATAACTGTCTAAAGTGTTGAAATCGCCTGAAACACTTTATAACTGTCTAAAGTGTTGAAGTAATCGCCTGAAACACTTATAACTGTCTAAAGTGTTGAAGTAATCGCCTGAAACACTTATAACTGTCTAAAGTGTTGAAATAATCGCCTGAAACACTTATAACTGTCTAAAGTGTTAAATAATCGCCTGAAACACTTATAACTGTCTAAAGTGTTGAAATAATCGCCTGAAACACTTATAACTGTCTAAAGTGTTGAAATAATCGCCTGAAACACTTATAACTGTCTAAAGTGTTGAAGTAATCGCCTGAAACACTTATAACTGTCTAAAGTGTTGAAGTAATCGCCTGAAACACTTTTAACTGTCTAAAGTGTTGAAGTAATCGCCTGAAACACTTTTAACTGTCTAAAGTGTTGAAGTGATCGCCTGAAACACTTATAACTGTCTAAAGTGTTGAAATAATCGCCTGAAACACTTATAACTGTCTAAAGTGTTGAAATAATCGCCTGAAACACTTATAACTGTCTAAAGTGTTGAAATAATGCCTGAAACACTTTTAACTGTCTAAAGTGTTGAAATAATCGCCTGAAACACTTATAACTGTCTAAAGTGTTGAAGTAATCGCCTGAGATACTACAAACACAAACTTATTTACGAGCAACAATTTTCTATGGGAGTTAATGACCTACTTGTGAGAGAGAGAGAGAGAGAGAGAGAGAGAGAGAGAGAGAGAGAGAGAGAAAAAAAAAAAAAAAAAAGAGAGCTGATATTTGTAGAACGTCAATACAAAGGTGATCTATAGGGTCTGACCAAATCCTCTTCCTCCTTCTCTCCTCCCTCGGGTCGGTCCATACTTCTGACGATGATAGGGCAAAGGGGTACATTATTTCCTCCTTCTCCTCCTCTCTCTCGTGCAATAATTATCGACTAGACACATAAAACTCGTCTTTCTGGACTCTGGGTTGGTGCACCCAAGGTATCTACCACCCTTGGGTGTACCTACCTGCCAGACAGACGCCAGTGAAACCTCTATTAAGGGGCTACTAGGAGAGGAATGTCCGTTATATCGAGGGCTCATCAGATGTGACCCCCCCATTGGATGTATTATATAATCTCCCTGTAATTTATTTTTTTCTCTGCACACACACACACACACACACACACACACACACACACACACACACACACACACACACACACACACACACACACTCTCTCTCTCTCTCTCTCTGCATTCTACTCCCTTTATTCATGCACTCACCTCCTCGTCCACTCACTCACCCACCAACTCACATCACTCACCCACTACCTTCCTAATATTGCAGGTGAAAGTGAGAAAAACGAAACCTAAAATTATTCCTCAACAACACATCAATTGTGGCAGCCTGTTCTTGCATCGCGTCTAAATATAGTTAACTTGAGGCTTAGGTGTAACTTTTGTGGCTCTTCCCTAGACCAAACCTCGCGTTATTTTATCTTATTTTTATCATTATTATTGTTTTTAAGGGAGGAGAGGGGGGAGAGGAGGAGGGGGGAGGAGGAGTATTGGGGTGGAAAGGGGAAGGGTATTGGGGAGAGGAGGAGGGGTATTGGGGTGGAAAGGGGAAGGGAATTGGGGAGAGGAGGAGGGGTATTGGGGTGGAAAGGGGAAGGAATTGGGGAGAGAGAGGAGGGGGGTATGGAGGGAGGAGGGTAGGGCAGAGGAAGAGGGGTATTGAGAGCATTTCTAAGACTTTCTGGAGTCTTGGATCTCATGTGGGGGAAGAGATATGACCAATCCAACCTAACCCTGAGTTGAATCCCTTGGCACTGTACACTTGGCACTTGATATCTGCACTTGGTCTCGGCACTTAGCACTTGATATCTGCACGCACTTGATCTCGGCACTTGGCACTTGATATTTGGCACTTGGCACATGGCAATTTGATATCTGCACTTGGCACTTGATCTCGGCACTTGTCACTTTATATTTGGCACTTGGCACTTGATATTTGGCACATGGCACTTGATATCTGCACTTGGCACTTGATCTCGGCACTTGGCACTTGATATTTGGCACATGGCACTTGATATCTGCACTTGGCACTTGATCTCGGCACTTGGCACCTTGATTAAAACTCCCTTTACCTTATAATATATTTTTCTCTTTTACATCCAGTTAATCTTTCGACGCCACTAGTGACTGACGTGGTGTGCCTTCAGGGTGGCCATTAAGTGCAACACTGGCTTTCACCGTTGGCGTCCTTAACAACTTCAGGTTTATGACCAAACAGGTCTTAGGTTCTTGGAATTATGATCAGTCGAGTTAAGGTGTATTTTGTAACACTTGAATTGTTGCGGAGTTTTATTGGTCAAAATAATGTCTGTAATTTGTTGAATGACTTTCAAGCCATTTTGTAATTTCTTGTTGGATTTTACGAGTATTTTACAATCACTTGAAGTTTAACCATCCTAACACTGACCTAATCTCACCTAACTTAACCAAACCAAACCTAACCTAATCTGAGCTATAACTTTAACCTACCCCCAGGTAGCGGTAGGGTGGTTAATCATTAGGTGAAATAAACTAGGGTGTCTAATCTTCAGGTAAAATAGACTAGGGAGTCCAATCTTCAAGTAAAATAGACTAGGGAGTCCAATCTTCAGGTAAAATAAGCCCCCCCAAAAATAACCTAAGCTATATCAAGTGGCCTTAGCGGATCTGTCACTTCTGGGAACTTAGATATTAGTCATGTTACAGCATATGTCAGTGTGTCAGGCGTGCAGTTTATTATCAGACAGACGGTCTTGGTGAGGTACTCAAATAAGAGCATAGTTATGATCAATTTAGTCCCCAGTATGATCAATTTAGTCCCCAGTATCGTATATATGATCAATTTAGTCCCTAATATGATCAATTTAGTCCCCAGTATCGTAGGTATGATCAATTTAGTCCACAGTATGATCAATTTAGTCCCCAGTATCGTATATATGATCAATTTAGTCCCCAGTATCGTATATATGATCAATTTAGTCCCTAATATGATCAATTTAGTCCCCAGTATCGTAGGTATGATCAATTTAGTCCCTAATATGATCAATTTAGTCCCCAGTATCGTAGGTATGATCAATTTAGTCCACAGTATGATCAATTTAGTCCCCAGTATCGTAGGTATGATCAATTTAGTCCACAGTATGATCAATTTAGTCCCCAGTATCGTAGATATGATCAATTTAGTCCCTAATATGATCAATTTAGTCCCTAATATGATCAATTTAGTCCCTAATATGATCAATTTAGTCCCTAATATGATCAATTTAGTCCCTAGTATGATCAATTTAGTCCCCCGTATCGTAGTTATGATCAATTTAGTCCCCAGTAGCTCATTAAAAACATCGAGAATTAAAATAAAATAAATTGCCTTAATATAAAAAAATAAATAAATAAATAAATAAAATAAAACTACCCCACACCAATTATCACAAACAAACAAACAACAAAACAAACAAACACTTAAACAAGCAAACAACCAAAACAAAAGATAAGTACCATTATATACCTACCAAAACAAAAGAAGAAAAATTATAAAAAAAAAATCCAAAAATGAAGAATTACATAGAGGTGTATATACTGTATATTTCCTTACTTGAATATGAAGACGATTGCTGGTTACATAAGTCGCCTCAAGAACACCCCAAATTTGCTACCTCCTCCAATCAACCCGTATATCGTGTGGTGTAGGATGGGGTGGGATGGGGTGGGATGGGGTAGGGTGGGGTAGGATGATGCTAAGGGGTAGGATGGGGTAGGGATAAAGGGATGGTGTTGATGTAAGGACGGTGATGGGATGATGTTGATGGGGTGACGGTGTAGGATGGGTAGGATGATGTTGGATGGGGTGGGATGGGGTAGGATGGTGTTGGATGGGGTAGGATGATGTTGGATGGGGTAGGATGATGTTGGATGGGGTGGGATGGGGATGGGGGTAGGATGGGGTAACTGGGTCTTATAAAAGGCTTACAATGTGGAGGGGAGAGCAAAGAGATTTCGACTATGTTGTAAGTACTAATCCCTTTCTCTCTCTTTCTTTTTCTCTCTTTTGCTTTATTTCTCTCCCTCACCCTCTCTCTCTCTCTCACAGCCAATTTTTCCTTTCTCCCTCTATCTCAACCATCCTCTCTCTCTCTCTCTCCTACAACCATCCTTTTCTTTCCTCTCTCACACTGAATGCAATCGAACCCCGAAGTGTAGCAACATTATTTTACTTTCTTTTAACTAATGTCAGAGAGAGAGAGAGAGAGAGAGAGAGAGAGAGAGAGAGAGAGAGAGGTATAAGACAAATTTCACCATCAATATTGTTTAAAATCTTACATAATTCATTACAAATTCAAAATAGAAATTGATAAACCACCTCCCCCCCAAAAAAAAAACAAAAATAAAAATAATAATAAATCAGATTAATAAAGGAATATAAATCTCTTGGAGTAACAGGCGAAATAGATTACACGGTATGTGGTCAGTGACGGGGGAAGAGCGTTAATTGATTGTTGAACAAATTACCCTGCTACACCTACTTATCCTTCCTACCTACCTACCCACCTATCCCCCACCCCTATCCACCTATCCCCCACCCCTACCTACCTACCCCCACCCCCCCTACCTGTTATATAACTTGGCCTTAGAAGTGATAACTTAAATCCAGTACTTTATTCTCCCTTATTTAAATAACCTGATAACCTTTAACATATCATTTCAAGTTCAGGGTTATGTTGTTACCCTTAAGTTAGGTGGTAATTATGACGCCAAATATCTTCAACACTTATTTACCCTCATATATGGATTTCACTTATCATTAATTCAGCAGAGTGACTGTATTATGTTAGGTTTTCGTTGTAATGTACAGTCACCCCCCTCCCCCAGAAAAAACTACCTGTACAAAATTATCTTCAAAAAATATGACACAACGAACGAAGGATTTTGACAACCCTACTGAGACAACAGGAGTCACAGTGTTCATTCTGAAACTCATCGATCACCCTAAGTAGAGATAGTTTGAGTGTCTAAACCTGGTATGTGGTTGGGTGATTGGATGGGCCAACCGACCTATTGCAGACTCCTTATGTTCTTATAAGTGACCGCGAAGTAATAACAACAACACTAAACCTAACCTAACCACAACCTACGTCAGTTTTACCGATCATCATAGTCCAGCCCCAGCACGTTACAAAGTGATATTTACTACAACCTGTTCTTACATACACGATGGGAAGGTGGATGGGTACGGTACGGTACGGTACGGTAAGTCGGAAGGTCTGATTAAGAACTCCCTGCGTGATCCGATTCAAGCATAGATTTTTCGTATTAGTGAAGACTGTGGTTGGTGAAGGGCAAGACTTGTAATTATACCACCTTCTGCAGTACAGGCAGACGTAAAGGGCGTAGATATATATTTTTTTCGTATTCTTTAAGTGGTGGGGGTTAAGAGAACGAGGTCGGGGCTGTGTGTGTGGCCGCTATGGGTGAGAGATGAATGATTGCCACTTCTCTCGCCCTGTTGTTTCACTTCATCTACCCTACCATTAGAAAACCCTTATTTACCTGGGCCATATATGACCTTGAGTGTGTTGCTATGTACACCTGATGGTAAATGATGGAGTGTTATAGCTACAAGGGGCACTTAGCTGTTCAGTAATTGACTCTTATAAATCATAGTCCCTTTAGCTGCAGGTAATGTTATAAGCTAAAGTGGTTTTCAATGCAAAAAATTCACACTTATTTGGGTAATGTTTATGAGCTAAATTGGTTCTTAAATTCTAAAAATACACACTTGTCAAAATATGAAGCTGAGTAATTTGTATGTACAGTAATTACTCTCGTTCATCTACAAGTAGTTAACCTGTTTACTGTGGCTTAGCATTACCTGCAACAAACTAGTCACTTCAATAAACTAGTCTCTTACCTGTATTAAACTAGTCTCTTACCTGCAACAGACTGAAGTTACATTTTCTTTACCCCAAAATGTCTATCATTATAAACTTTAATACATCAGTTAAGTAATAGTCAACTTGAAACTATTACCAGCAAATGAACGACAAGAAATAATTATAATTTTTGTTACCGCAAGCTGAGATGCCAGTTCCGAATCCGAGTATGTTTTTCGGCCACGTGTGTTTGATTATTATTGGGCACTTACTTATGCCCACAATACGTTGACCCGATGTCTAGGCTTGGGTTCATCTGATGGGCACGTGCGTGTGCCTCGTCTTTCATTCATTTACTACGTTCGTGTGCCTTGTATCTCACTCAATTATCAGGGCACATTCGTGTGCCTCGTCTTATTGCTTTCGTTACAGTCAAACGTGGATGGTCTACCGTGTAGCAGGGTGTTACCAGGGAGTCAACACCTTCGGCCAGCAGGAAGAAGGCGTTGCCAAGGTCAAACTTAGTGCAGTTCATCGACGCACCCCACTCGAGGGACGTGCGTGTGTGTGTACCCAGTGTTACGGAGTACAGTGCAACGCCCGTGTACTTCTCGCGGTGATAATATTTAAGCCATGTTAGTGAAAATAATCTTGTCTGAGTGAGCTCAAGCACTCTCAGCGTAGTGCATATGAGAATGAAGACAAATGTCATTACTGTTGCCTGACGTAAGTGCAGAACACAATTAGCAATCATATTTGACTGACCTGACACAGCAAAGTCGACCAGTCAGGGCTGGTCATGTGACGCCAGACAAGGCACTGCCACTGTAGCTATCCCCATCATAGAGTCAACACCTAACCTGTTTCTCTTGAGACTTTCAACACGTAAGTTTAACCTGTACTTAAGGTTACACAGGTAGACTGTGTCCATTGCATCGGTTATCATTGTGACAACATGGAAACATGGCAAATTAAGTACGCATTATAAGTGTTAAGATTACAGCTGTAGACTAATTGCATAGCTATGATTGTTACTTGAATATATATTGGATTAAACATTTATGTATGATTGCCTATGTATGACTTATTATTTGAAATACTAGGAATGAATTGTATTGAACAGGTTTGACCGAATTATAACGTTAGAGTTCAACGTGAGGTCTGATTATTCCTTAAACGCTCAGAAGGCGTTTACAATGATGATGATGATAATAATAATAATAATAATAATAATAATAATAATAATAATAATAATAATAAGAAGAAGAAGAAGAAGAAGAAGAAGAAGAAGAGGAAGAAGAAGAAGAAGAAGAAGAGGAAGAAGAAGAAGAGGAAGAAGAAGAAGACCAACAACAACAACAATAACAATAACAACAACCACAATAACAATAACAATAACAATACCAGGTCTCATTATATAAGAACACCTTCAGTGTCCATTCCACAACGGCCATAGCATTAACCAGGACATAAGGACAGCTTCTCGTAGCACTACACAACAGCAACAACAACAATTAAAGATAAATATTCATTAATGTAATTATCTCTCAGGCCGCCAATGATCAAAGCCTAGTGGTCAGTGTCAGTAACCGTCGTTAATAAACCCTAATTATCCGCATGTTATTAATTCACTTGTCAATAGCGTTAGAGCGTCGTCCATCTTTGAATCTAAACCTGTAAAAAATAGATATGAACGACATTCCAATAACACTACCACGCCCAATATCGGAACAGACACAGAGCCCAAGAATGAAAAAGTGAAACGCTATCTTTAGTGGTAATCTTATTGGGAACGTGATCTATAAACCTGTTTATATTGTAGCTTAAACCCGCGTTAACATGCTTCAATTGTCATTGATGAGACCTTTTTCCCTCACTCAACCACGATGTTAACTAGATTTTAATTAATTGAACCTTCTCCTTTTACTTAATGTACAGCCCTTGGTTCTGTAACTGAAGGACTATATTTACTTCAAAATGACAGGAATTTAACTATATTGTGAAGTGGAAATTCAGGCTAGGTCAGAGGTCAAATTAACATATCAACATAAATTTGACGTCTGACCTAACCTGAATATTAAAAAGTCGCCTAACCTAACCTAACCTAACCTAACCTATATCTCCTCTTCCAGACACTGAACGGACTAGATGGGTGGTGTGACAGGAGGAGGAGGATGGGGGCGGAGGCGGATGGGCGTGTGGGCGGCTCTCCTGTTCCTCGTCCAAGTACATCACGCACACGCCTTTGGTATACCTGAATTTCTAGTGTTTGGAAACTGTCCGGACCTCCAGGTGGATCCCAATATAAATTTTGAGAAAGTGAGTCTTGGATTTTGTTTTTGTTTTGAATTGTTCTATTTTTTCCTCTTTTTTTTTTAGGGATTATAAAGGTCTATTTTATACTCAAATGATATTGGACCTACTGTAGCTTATTCTAGGTTAGGTTAGGTTAGGTTAGATTAAGTATAAGCTTTGGTTTAGGATATTTAGGTAAAAAATCACATAGGTTAGGTTAGGTTAAGAAGTTACTGAAGTTAGGTTAGATTATGGTCGTCACTATAAATGAGTTACCCGCCAGCAGACATTTAGCCCTCCCTTCCCCCCCAGTGTGTGTGTGAAGATTATGTCTGGTCACTCCCTAGAATTACACATAGCTTCCCATCCACATGTACACCTGCCACCCATAAAAGGGGATCTCAACAGCGATGGAGCCAAGGCCAGCACTTCTGGTACCTGGTCTAGTAGTAAAAACTTAAGACTACGGACGGATTTATCTTCAAGGAGAAGATGAGTCACTTGTTAGCATGACTGACAGTAAACCTTAATTAACGGACTTAATTGTATCCAGACTTAAGTAACTGAGGTCAGATAACTTACTAGCCTAACCTAACCTAACTACAGTAACTTCTTAACTTAGTCTAACGTTACCTAACCTAACTAACTGAGGTAACCTTACTAATCTAACAGAACCCAATCAAAGACAGTAACCTAACGTAATCTAACTCTTCTGAATGACGTCATAGTAAACAAAATGCACCAATCACAATCATCTAACAAAGTAACTACCGATAAATCACTATATAAAACGACACATGAATTCCTTTCCACTATTTGAGATGTGTCATAACAAGGGACAACTCGACACACTGTATACAAAACACATGATCCCCTTACCTTCACCCTTCCCTCCCCTACTTGGTTTTATACGAGTCCCGATTCTCCCGAACCTGTTTCATGAATCTACTCACCTCGACTCGTATAGGAATTTATATGACAATACTTTCACCTAACTTGTTTATCTCAATGCGTGGAGGACTTTTGACTATGGTGAGACCAGAGGGCATCTATACCCCTTGGGAGATGATGTAACATGTTGGGTTTGAAGTCCCAATAAGATATACTTTATGTTTTGTTCCTCCGTGACTTGACTCTAAAGAGGGGTGGAAAGTGAGGGATTAGGAAGTGAGGTGTTGGGAAGTGAGGGGTTGGTAAGTGAGGGGTTGGGAAGTGAGGTGTTAGGAAGTGAGGTGTTGGGAAGTGAGGTGTTGGGAAGTGAGGGGTTGGTAAGTGAGGGGTTGGGAAGTGAGGTGTTAGGAAGTGAGGTGTTGGGAAGTGAGGTGTTGGGAAGTGAGGTGTTAGGAAGTGAGGTGTTGGGAAGTGAGGGGTTGGTAAGTGAGGGGTTGGGAAGTGAGGTGTTGGGAAGTGAGGGGTTGGTAAGTTAAGGTGCGAGAAGGAATATCAAGAACAACTTACAAGAGGAAAAGACTACAGTAAAATCGTGTTTTATGAAGGATTTTGACAACAGAAGTAGCAGTGTTTATTTTGAAGCGAGTGTTACAGTACATGAGAACGATCCATTTCTGTATTACTTTGACTCAAGTATTCCACCAATGATCCTCAGGAGACTAAATGAAAGAGATTACATAAAAAGTTCCAAGTAATCATTAATTTAAACTTTAAAAGATAAACACAACCAATAGATCAGCCACAATAACTGCCAGAGTACCGTAACACGAGGAAAACTTAGCTAAATGTCATCTATCAAGCAATGGTTTTTTTCCCCCACAAGGAAAAACGAACCGCAAATATGACTCGTATTTCATAAGACTTTGGTTAGTTTCGTCAGAACCCGGAGGCGGGGGAAGGGACGGGGCGGGGAGAGGTCATGGTGGGGCCGGAGGGGGGGAAGGGACGGGACGGGGAGGGGTCATGGTGGGGCCGGAGGGGGTGGTGGGGGAGGCAGGTACTCGTCTACGCCATCTCTACCTGGTTCCTGCAATTACTACCACATCCATCATGATCGACGGGCCTGTAATGGTCGATGTGAAAGGTGTGTGTGTGTGTGTGTTAATCCCGTTCCATTACTCTTCCTATATTCTTCCTTTATCTTTTTTCTCTTGGTAACTCGTTCTAAACTAAACCATCAAATACACATCACAGTCATATGATTTGGTGCACTAATTCGTGGAAAAGAGACAATATATACATTACAACTGTTTTAGTTACTCTTAAAACTCAGATGAAATAACATTATAATACTCTACGGGTCAGCCATTTTTTCACCAACGAGAAGAGTGAGCCATTTTTTTTAACTCTTCGCACGCATGCATTGTTTACAACTGAGACGCTAAGTGTACCCCGTGTGCTATCTTCGCCAGGTTCCGGGAATCGCTGGGTATATTTGTTGGCTATAGGTGGGCAAAGGCTTCCAAATTCGTTACAATTCAGCAACTGTAGCCTTGTAAATATAAACTCATGTATGTACCGGTTCCCCCAAAAAAGTATCTATACGGTTTTATGCAAGATAATGACACAACGGACGAAGGATTTTGACGAACCCTACACAGACAACAGGAGTCGCAGTGTTCATTTTGAAATTCATCGGATCCCTCCGTAAAATTACCTTTTGGAGCGAGTCTACCCATCAACATATTTACAAGTTAAACACACGCCCTTGTACGAACGCATCCACAAATTACTTAGGCGCCCATATGTGTTCGAGTCCAGACACTTTACTCTGTCCCCTGTGGATATGGAAAATAACTCCTGTGAAGACCTCCACCTGTGGGCTGGTAGTTACACAGCTTAACCCGTGGAAGAGCCCATCAGCTTCTGGTCTATCTAATCACGAGGTGTCAGCCAGGATGGATGATAAGAGAGGCGAGGCAGCTCTCTCGGACAATGAATTACATGTTGACAGCTCATCTCTCAGAAAATCACTTAAGCAATAGAAAACACCTCGAGGCGATGTTGATGTTGAAATTCTATTGTTATTCCTGCGTTTCACAACTAAGGTATTGATGCCATAATGCATTACTGTGCCTCAACAACTAAGGTGCTTCAACGCGTTTAAAGGTTTAGTAAATTATATTCGTTTAACAACTAAGAATTATAAGAGATTTAACCCCCTTTCTGGAGACGTTTGTAGGGTGACGCCATCTATAATGTACCCTACCAATAAGTCTCTATAAACGTAAGACAATTATACCTCTTGAGTACAATAATAAGATCATAAGAACACGATAAACAAACCCTCGAGACAGGTATAAGTATAAAAATCACGGGAAAAAGTGAACCTGTGAATCCGACACATTACCCACACAGCCGTTTTCTGGAGTCGGTTCAGCAGACACTAACACGAGAGGAAAAACTCGGAATCGTTGAAGAGAGAAGAAAAAAAAATGAAATCCATTTAAGGCACAAAATGGTAATTGGTTGAAGGAGGGGCTAAAAGTGTACCTCCTCCCCTTCCCTTCCTCCCCCCATCCCATTCTTTGCTCCCCTCCCCCTTCTTTTTTAAATCCAACTAAATACCATAAATTCTGCATACCCAAGTGGTTAGTGACGCAACACGAAGCCTCAAGCGCATGAAGCAATTAATGGGCCTAGATGAAGCACCTTTAAAACACTGTCGTCTGGTAGTGATCAATTGGTGTACATATTGGGGAAAATATTTAACTATGATCTGACAAAAAGATAAACCCGTACTCCTGTCAAAATTAAAACATAAGATAAAACCAGACGGCAACAAATATTACTTTTACTTTTTTGTTTTTTACTTTTAACCTCTTTACCACTGACCGGCTCGTTAGTATACTGTTATTTTGTTATGTAGTCTTGTCACTGTATGCCACATCTTTAAACATGTAAACAAACTTTTCAACGTTACTCTATAATTAGGTTAGTTTCCTCTAAGACATTTTCTCTTATTATGATATAAGATAAAATAAAACATATATGACATATCATTTTATTCTTTAATTGTTACGGTTTTTTTCTAATACGTAATAGGAAATAATTGGACGACAAGAAAACGGATAAATGGATATTTAATTGGATATGATGTTAATGTTTTAATTGGATATGATGTTAATGTTTTAATTGGATATAAGGGTAATGTTTTAATTGGATATAAGGGTAATGTTTTAATTGGATATGAGGTTAATGTTTTAATTGGATATGAGGTTAATGTTTTAATTGGATATGATGTTAATGTTTTAATTGGATATGAGGTTAATGTTTTAATTGGATATGAGGTTAATGTTTTAATTGGATATGAGGTTAATGTTTTAATTGGATATGAGGTTAATGTTTTAATTGGATATGAGGTTAATGTTTTAATTGGATATAAGGGTAATGTTTATGTGGATATTAAGTTGTGGTTCTGTTTCAGTTTTCCGGAATTTGGTTCAACATGGAGGATGTACCAAATGAATATACAGACATCGTCGCCTGCTCCATGGCCAACTATACTTGGCTGGGTGAGTCCTCTCTCTCTCTCTCCATCTTTCTTATTCTCTCTCTCTCGCTCCACCCTTCTTGTTCTCGCTCTATCTTTCTTTCATCTACCTCCTTCTTCTAACCTCTTTCTTACTATTATCCTCTAATTCTTCTCCCCCCCCTCTTATCATATTATCTCCTCTTATCCCTCCTCCCCCCTATCTTCCTCTCCTCTTTTCCTTTTCTTCTCTCTTTCTCTCAGTCTCTAGTGATTATACCCGTTAAATAATACGAACATTAAACCTCTTTCTTACTATTATCCTCTAATTCTTCTCCCCCCCCTCTTATCATATTATCTCCTCTTATCCCTCCTCCCCCCTATCTTCCTCTCCTCTTTTCCTTTTCTTCTCTCTTTCTCTCAGTCTCTAGTGATTATACCCGTTAAATAATACGAACATTAATGAATAATAATAATAAAAAACAAAACATCTTATCTCTCCCCCACCTACCCAGTTCTCCACCCCCTCTCTCCCCCCACCCCTAGCAGTTCATCCTCCTCACACCACCTCCCCCACCCTAACCCCTTCATCCTCCTCCACCACCTCTCCCCTACCCTAACCCCTTCATCCTCCTCACCACCTCTCCCCCCACCCCTAACCCCTTCATCCTCCTCACCTCTCCCCCCTAACCCCCCCTCATCCTCCTCAACCATGACCTACTCACTGAATCATCCACTTGTCCTACAGAAACCATCATGACCGTGGATGAGCGAGGACTTAATGTGGATGGTAAGAAGGTGCGGAAGAATTCCCTAATGCGGCCTACAGAAGGTCAACCTGGAGTCCTTACCGTGGATGCTGAGGGGGTTCCTTCCGCCCCTTATGCTGTGAGTTACTACATACTTTTTGGTGTTTGTCTTTCTATGTTTGGTTTGTCTAGTGGGTTAAACTGGGGGGGGGAGGGATAACCTTGGTACTTGTTGTCTCCTTACGCTGTGAGTTGCTCTCTCTCTCTCTCTTCCCTGTCAGCTGTTTTCTGTGCCACTCATTATTATTCATCATTTTTATCATCATGCTTGACACTGTTATCATTATCGTTGCTGCTATCATCCTTATCGGCTTTATCCTCCTCGTTATTGATATCATCTCTGTCGTTGCTATCATCCTACTAAAACCGATCTCTTCTCCCCTGACACAGATCGTTGGGACAGATTATGACAACTACGCCTGTGTCCACTCTTGTATGGGGTTCATGGGATTCAAGGCAGCCTTTTCGTGGGTTTTCACTCGAGTGCCAAACCCCGACCGAGCTTACGTGGCCTTGTGCCGTGATCTGTTGGCTGAGAATGGCATCGAACCTAGTGCCATGCAACCCATGAGACAAGGCAAGGTGAGCATTGAGGTGAGGTGAGGTGAGGTTAGGTTAGGTTAGGTGATTAGTCCTGATGGATAGAGGGATGACATTACTGGGTGTGAGTTTGGGAAGTTTGCGACATTACTGGGGTGTGTGTGGGGAGGGGGGAGGGGAAGCGTAGGAAGTTGGCACAGGTGTAAGACGTGTGTGTGTGTGTGTGTGTGTGTGTGTGTGTGTGTGTGTGTCACAGGTGTGGTCCTAATGATATTTTGCACTATATATTGTACTGCACTGCACCAACAACTGTATTCTAACACTTAAGTCCCATCATTAAACTATTCAATAATGTCTCCACCAGGACTGCCCTTACACGGAGAAGCTAGACGCCCTGCTGGCTTACAGTAAAGGAGTTCAGAGCAAAGCCAAGGCTAAGGAAATGGCAGAGGACAAGAAATCCTCCACCAAGAAGACACACCAAATTGAGCCCATAAATGCAGTCCCACAAGAAGCCACAGTGACGCAGGAATCCATAGGGACGATTCAATCTAGCGTGGTTTCATTCATACTAGACGAAGAGAAGGTAAAGTAAGGTTAATTGATACACTTCTGAGGTGACCTGAGACTAGATCCTTAATCCTTAACCCCGCCCCCCCGCAAAAGAAAAAGAATTTACAAATGGGATGTTTAACTTTTCTTCGTGAGAGATCTTGTTAAAAAAGGGACATTGATTTGAATACTAAAGAAAAAGGCAACATAAATATACCCCTGTACGCTATATGGCCATTCTTATGGGTATAGGCCTATGAGATAGAGGCCAGATAGAAGAGCCAGGTAGGAGAGACAGGTAGGAGAGCCAGATAGAGATCAGTGTCAATAAGGTTTTGTAATTACAGTTACCGAGGCTGAGATATGAGGTTGGCACTGTAACTTCATATACAGTGAAACCTCCATATAACGGAATTCTCTCTCCATATAATCCGCTAGATGGAGGTTTCACATCAAACGGATTATCGATATAACGGATTCTCATTTTCCGTATAGTTCATTGGATGGACACTTCACAACCTACGGACCCCTTCGATATAACGGACTTTTTCCCGCATATAGTCCGTTAAATATTGACTTCACTGCACTGTCTTCAAATTTAATACGAGTGTGGTGAAAATAAATGAATGACCCCCTTTGTGTTCCTCTCCCGCAGCACCTACGAGAGTTAGAACATGAAATGGAGGAGGAGGAGCGACGGCTGAAGCACACTATGGAGATGGATCATCGTCGGGAGGAAGAGGAGATTGAGGAGATCCGTGAGGAGGTGATCTACGAGAACCGCCGTCACCGTCACGAAGGAGGCCATAGGGCAGGTCAGTTAAGGAGACGTGGGAGGCCATAGGGCAGGTCAGTTAAGGAGACGTGGGAGGCCATAGGGCAGGTCAGTTAAGGAGACGTGGGAGGCCATAGGGCAGGTCAGTTAAGGAGACGTGGGAGGCCATAGGGCAGGTCAGTTAAAGAGACGTGGGAGGCCATAGGGCAGGTCAGTTAAAGAGACGTGGGAGGCCATAGGGCAGGTCAGTTAAGGACGTGGGAGGCCATAGGGCAGGCAGGAAGACGTGGGAGGCCATGTCAGTTAAAGAGGGAGGCCATAGGGCAGGTCAGTTAAGGACGTGGAGGCCATAGGGCAGGTCAGTTAAAGAGACGTGGGAGGCCATAGAGCAGGTCAGTTAAAGAGACGTGGGAGGCCATAGGGTCAGTTAAGGAGACATAGGGCAGGTCAGTTAAAGAGACGTGTCAGGAGGTAGGCAGGCCAGTTAAAGAGACGTGGGAGGCCAGGGCAGTTAAGAGACGTGGGAGGCCATCAGGTTTAAGGAGACGTGGGAGGCCATAGGGCAGGTCAGTTAAAGAGACGTGGGAGGCCATAGGGCAGGTCAATTAAGGAGACGTGGGAGGCCATAGGGCAGGTCAGTTAAGGAGACGTGGGAGGCCATAGGGCAGGTCAGTTAAAGAGACGTGGGAGGCCATAGGGCAGGTCAGTTAAGGAGACGTGGGAGGCCATAGGGCAGGTCAGTTAAAGAGACGTGGGAGGCCATAGGGCAGGTCAGTTAAAGAGACGTGGGAGGCCATAGGGCAGGTCAATTAAGGAGACGTGGTAGTGGTAGTGGTTGTTAACTCAATAGCCAATGGTGTATAAACAATAGGCAAACACGTCACAATTAACACAAAGGTTGAGAGAATACAAATGTCTTCTTTCTTCGGCAGAACACGCAGCGGGTGGCGGTGAGCACGTTCATCTGAGCAGCTTAGCGTTCGTCTTACCTGTCGTCTCTTTGCTACTGCCATCATCACTATAATGAATCTCCAATACATATAATCATTGTGTCTCTCTTGCGTTTATTTACTATGGTCTTCAAACTTTATCACTATGTGTGTGTGTGTGTGTTTGTGTGGTGCTCGTGTGTGGAAACGCTCTCTCTCACTGGACACAATAATAAACTGCCTCTTATGCTTAATGGAAACTCAGTAAGGGGTGATATAATGGTGTAGAGTCAGTGTACAGAGGAAGTTCACTATAATAATAATGATAAAGCCGCAGTAATTGTATCCTTTGTATTTAAGGTGTCAACTTAGGTCGGGTGGCGTCATTTTCAAAGTTGTGACCCTAACTTTTGAGCCTAGTAATACCCGCTCTACAAGGTGATGATATGGACTAAGTATGGTGATTATGTTATTTACTTCTAGAGTTATACATACATACATACACTCATTCATTCATTCATTCATTCATTCATTCATACATACATACATACATACATACATACATACATACATACATACACTAACCACCTGGTCGGCGTGAATAGCACGATTCATCTTGGCCCCAACACTGACATTTTAAAACACAATACTTACTCAATTAAACCTTCTGAAGGACAACCCTGGCTGTCGTCACCCACCTACATCACCTGGGTATTATGTCTGGCTAAAACAAAACGAGTTTATTTGAGTCCGTAAAAATGAAATTATTGATTATAAATTGGGGCCTCTTTTACTGAATATGACTTCAAGTAATTGTTGGTGATAAATACATTAAATTTCACGATAATTAATTGTTTTCATATCGGTAAACTCAAAATTATCATATAAATAATGTTAGGGAAACAACTGCATCTCAGTATTATTAAAAGTAACCACTCTACAAACTTTCGTTTGAGCGATAAAGTCAAACTTTGCCTACATCGTGTGATAAAAACTCTCCAATCCAGCAGTTGTTGGTGAAGAGAACTACTCATTATGTGTTTATATTGTATATATCATAAAGACTGTTGTTTGTATTATGGGTCCAAGACCTGTAAGACAGTGTTCTGGCCTGGCTAGAGGTGTGTTAGACGAGGCTCCCCCTGGGACGGGGCGCCCCGCAACACACCAATGTACCTCAACTCCAACATCTAGACTTTATCCTTTTGGCAACCCTCATTGTCAATGCTACATATCTTTTTTTAATAAAATTTCAATGAAGTTCAAAGTATTTTATTATTCCCTTTAAAAGTTAAATCTAAAGACATATACATCTGCATGACTGTTAGGAGGTATGACGTGGATTACCTCAGCACCAGTTAAAGAAGCCAACTCCGTGTCGTAAGGCCAGACTGACATCTTTGGTGACCCAAAAAAAATGCGTCGAGTCACGAGACCTGCACCTGGCAACTGTATCGTCAATGTAACCCTAGGCGGTGGTAGGCGAATATCATGCTCGAGAATATGTTGCCAAGGGAATTAGGTTCACAAACTTCACCACCTCATTGTTACCATAGACAAAGACCCTATATAAAGCAACTGTTCTATATATATATATTATAATTATTAGAGTAGGATTGAGTTAGATAAATATAGAAAAACATTAAAGTAAAGGTAAGATTAGAGTTTGATCCAAATTTAGTGAGAGAAAGATTAAGTTAGGTTAAGATTAAACTGGATTAGGGTTAATTGACGTAATTTTAAATGTCTCTCCCTACCCCTGCCATAGTAACGCACTCTCCCTACCCCTGCCATAGTAACGCACTCTCCCTACCCCTGTCATAGTAACACACTCTCCCTACCCCTGCCATAGCCTCTCCCTACCACACCCCTTAACACACTCTCCCTACCCCTGCCATAGTAACACACTCTCCCTACCCCTGCCATAGTAACACACTCTCCCTACCCCTGCCATAGTAACACACTCTCCCTACCCCTGCCATAGTAACACACTCTCCCTACCCCTGCCATAGTAACACACTCTCCCTACCCCGACCATAGTAACACACTCTCCCTACCCCTGCCATAGTAACACACTCTCCCTACCCCTGCCATAGTAACACACTCTCCCTACCCCTCCCATAGTAACACACTCTCCCTAACCCGACCACTCTCCCTAGCCATAGTAACACACCTCCTTCCAGGGTCTCTACAGTCTCACCGGGACAAGCACGCCGTGACCACACATTTTAATTACCGTTTTCAACCAGTTTAATTCAATTTTGATGTGTGTGTGTGTGTGTGTGTGTGTGTGTGTGTGTGTGTTATAAATGGGTAAAAGGAATACTGATCGTTAACAAGGGTGTGCCGGCTGTGTATGGCAGATTGAAAGATGAAAAGAATCAGTAATATGTATAGAACCAGTGCAGAAAAAAGGGCCATAGTTATTCATATTGCCATGAATGTAGTAACCGAGAATGTAAAGGCAAGAGTGATGGAGAGGAAGTGGGGGGGGGGGAAGTTAATAAGGTGAATAATGAATGAGATGCAAATGGGAGGTGAGTTAGATGAAATTTACAACTGGTGAAAGTTTTAGATGCGTGGATAGAGGGACAAAGGTAGGGGAGGGGGGGAGGAAAGGTACCAACACTATGGTATGCGACCTTTATGAATTAACGAAGGCATTCATGACGGTGTTCCCGTACTGGTGTCTGCTTAGCATTTCTATTTAAACACATCAGAAGATTTTTCTTTTCATAACTCATACAATAGAAAGTAGAGAGAGAGAGAGAGAGACGATGCTTTTGTAGATTCCAATCAGACTATAGGCTGCAACGTCAAGTGGCATCCCGCAGGGGGGAGTGATGGGCCGACATTATTTCAACAAATTTAATCTAATCACCAGAGACAACTTCCAATGGACCTAAATAACCACCCCAAAATTATAAGATAGCTACATGGTAACCCAGATTCCCTCCAGATAAGTGTATGGTAATATTTAGGGTCAAGACAGGAGAAAGCAGCCCTAGATAACCTACCTCTTGAAGGAAGGAAACGAGAGACTTGAATGAAAGAAAACTTAAGAAAGATATAAGAGAAGAACATAAGAGTGATAACTGAAATACGGTTGAAGATCTGGATGTAATAACTCGGTTTGCTGTAGTTTTTATTTCATGTCGTTCAGCAAAATTTCCAAGGAAAGTAAACTCATGGCAAAAAAAATGGATGTGAATTTTCTTTTAATTGCATTTTTGTTTAAGTTTGGTTAGAGGGAGGTTAGGTTAAGTTAGATTAGGGTTAGGTTACGTGAGGTTAAGTTAGGTTTGGTTAGGTTAGGGGTAGGTTAGGTTAGGTTAGATATGGGGTAGATTAGGTGAAGTTAAGTTAGGTTATGTTACGTTACATTACGTTAGATTTGGTTAGGTTCAGTTCTGGGTGTACCGGGTACAGGTCCGATTACAGTACGTAAATCAGTAAAACTTAAATAATAAGTTTTCAGGAGAATGCAGCCAAAGAAATATTTTACTCTTAAGATTACATAACTATAAAAATACAGTGTAATAGATGAGTTCCATACGGTGCTGGTGTGGGTTAAAGATACCGTGTCGTGGCAATACAGATTTTCCCCAAAAGTGTAAAGGTTCACTTAACTCCTATACCATGGGCTTTGGTGTGTATCCTAATGTAGAGTAGCTGCACAGTGTCAGACAACAGAAGAATCAATCTCTACTGTTGTCTCGCCGCCACAGTTCTCGTAATCCACAAAATAACATATAGGGGAAAAATCATTTAAACCCTGGCCTGTTATCCAGATATTTATGTAAGTGCACAACACCAGGGGATACTGCGCAACCTTAGTGGTGACCTAGAATACAAGTCATTTATATAAGTATACGACACGTGGATCAAACTCCTCAGAACTGATAGGTTGATCGTCTGATAACTATACAGTACTTAAAAATATAGTGGGGTCGTTAGGTTAGGTTTGGGTAGATCATGGCGTCTGTTAATATGAATGTTTACACCCCCTCCCTCCCCAACCTCCAAACACAGGATCCACTGCCTCTCTCATATATATTAGTTTAATTAAAGAAGGAAACACTGCCATGGTACTAATGCTGAGCTGTCTCTTGGTAAAGTAATATATGACATGTCTAATTGCCATTGCCTTTTCATTAGATTACAATTTCACAGACGTCTGATTCGAGAAATGAGTTCACTGCGTTATTTCCCTGATTGAAGGTTTATACACTGTTTCGAGGTCGACAGAGTCTTAATGATTGGGGTCACTTCGATATTAAGTGGGTCAGCTAAGGAGGTTGTATTCGAGTAGCTACAGTACTTTTAAACTTCAAGTTCTTAAAAATTATCACTGAGAGCCAGAAGTAGTGTCTTACCGGAGAAGATTTTTGTGACTGGATTTTTATATCTAGTGGTCTGAATGGGAGGAGTCGAACGTATAAAAACTTTACAAACAGACGTACGATTTGAAAAGACATATCTAGTTTTGTTATTTATCTTTATATTATTTTCATATATTCACTGAAAATATCACTCAAAGATATTTTTATTCTGACAATTTTCCAAGCTGCTCAATCATCTGCTGTAGCGTAGCGTATGAACCCAACACCCAATCAATATTCAACGGTGTCTCTTTCCCCCTCACCCAACGCCAAATTTTACATCATGGATGACGCAGCTGCAAACTAAACGAATTCGGCAAGAAATCAGTCTACGTTTCCCATTGTCCTTTGTCTACGCAGGAGCAGGATAACCTCGGTTTGTTTACAGTATGAGCACTTTTCAGTGTCACTGTTGCAAGTCGCTGTGCCACGCCATTAAACAACGCGCTTTGTCGTCAAGGAAGGCGATGTAGTAAATATATTTTTTTTTTGTTTTAGCTGTGTGATAAACTAGGACAGGGACGTCATACTGTATACTGAGGAACAATATAACTAACAGGTGACATAATATAGTCAAGCTTGTCTCGCCTAGTATACCACGGAAATAAAAAACAAAGGCATATGACTTAACTATGCATTAACCTCTTCAGTATTGTTATCCCCTTCAGTATGATGAATTAACCCCTTGAGTACAATGGCTTAACCTCCTCGAGTACGGTGACAACCCCCTCGAGTACGGTGACTTAACCCGAGTAAAATGGCTTAACCCCTTGAGTATGATAGATATGATAAAGGGATAAACAACATCTTGACACAGATAAATAAAGGTAAAAGTTACAGTAATTAGCTGGAACTTACCTGTATACACTGTGACGTCATGCAGAAGCTGACAGCAAAGACGTCAGCTCCACTCAATAGTCCTGACATGACCTCCTGACTCCTGGCTGATGTCAAATCCTTCCTATCAGATAGATAGATAAATAGGTGGATAAGTAGATATATATAGAAAGATAGATAACTACATATTCAGTAAAAAATATCAGTCTCATTATTGACAGACTTTTAAATGAATAAATAGACCGCTCTATGTCGATAATCTATCTGCCTCTCGTGGTCTTTCCTATTTACCATTATTTGTATTCCTGCTCTCTCTCTCTCTCAGACAAGACGTACATTGTAAAAGGTTAAACAATTTCTCAACATCTGGACCTCCACAATATCGACTCCTCTCAAACCGAGTCGACAAGTATGAACCCAATACCGAACCCCTATACCACTGACTCAACAAACGGGGCCACATTTCTCTGTAATTAAATCTAATTTGTTTAATAATTTAGATAACTATATTACTATGAGTATATTAATCCACGTTCAATTAAGTTTACAATAAATCAGCTGAACTTGCAGATATAACGTCACCACCCAAGCTTCACAGGGGTCGCCTTATCAACCACCAATTTGAGGAGAAAAGCCAAATTCACCCGCCTAAATAGGAATGAAAAAAAAAGTTGCAAAAATTAACATATTTCTTTGGCCAACATTTGGAACCTTAAGAGGTCGTCACCTTGGAGAACTAAGAGTTTAAAAATAATAATAATATTATTATTATTATTATTATTATTATTATTATTATTATTATTATTATTATTGTTATTATTTTTAGTTGTCACGTTTGGCGAAACAAACTTTTATTTGTGTCGTTCAGAGATAATAATATTAACTCATCTCTTAGCATCAGGGCATCAGTTGTACTTTAAATAAACTCAAAATATTAATTAATATAAAAAAGCGAAAATGGTATTAATCCTAAGAGTTGAATTTTGCCACAAAAGACCAGTAGCAAAATATTGTAGTTGTGAGGAATTCCGCCAGATGTCAGCACGTGACGGGCGTAAAAAACAAGAGTATCCCACCCAAACTTGCTTATGTAACAAGCATATTCCGAACCTCACCACCAACCATTTATTACTACTGTGAATCGAAAATTGAAACAAAAAAACAAATAAAATTAAATTAATATCAACCACTATAAGATGACTAAATTTAATCTCCTTATATACCTAATTCTTTGTATTGTTAAACATGTGGTGATTCCAAAGATGTCATTAGTTACAGTACAAAATGATATATACTTGCTGAGCTGTAAACTTGCACAGTCTATAATATTACTTGCCGAATTAAAGCAAACTTGTACAAAGATTTTACTGATTAAATATTAAATCTATATATCTACACACGTCCCCCTTATCTATCTATCTAGGCTAGGTGAAGTTAGATTAAGTTAGTTTAGGTTAAGTTAGAATAAGTTAAGTTAGGTAAGTGCCTTCAGCAAAATAATGTCTGCTGGTGGAAGGGATGGCGAGGGGTGACATAAGATGGAGTAAGAAATAATGGAAGAAAAATTCAGAGAGATCCAGAGACGCTGTTAACCCTCACTACTGTTAGGAGAGAAATACGCGTGAGTCAAGATTTCTTAAGGTAATACAACTTTCTAATGAGTAATGACAGACAGGTAAATGCAGCGGTTGTTTCATTTTCAGTCGTCGGGTTAAAACTGATAGCAAAGGCCCCAATGACTTTTATAGTTCCAAAACGAAATTGTGATGCAAAGGCACAATAGATTATAGTTTGTAATGTAACGGTATAGTATTTTATGGGGTTTGTAATGTAACAGTAAAGCATTTCGTGAAGTGATGTAACAGAAATGCGATTCGTAAAGTTGTTATGCAACACCTAGCCTCAAGAGGATATGCTGCCTCATGCCCTCACCTGTGGAGCAATGATACCCCCTCACACACACACACACTGACATAAAGCAGGTTGCCCTCATACTCGGAGCTGCCCCGTCAGTCACTCTCCTAAACCACTTGACTTAACAGCGAAAAAGTGGGAAATTAGCCCAGCCCATACAGGTCTCTTTTGAAATCTTGGCCCACAGTTATCACCTCTTTATCTCTATTGTCCTATAGTCACTCCAACTATTCGAAGCAAGATTTCTGGTTATGCAGAGTGGAAAGTCGAAAGAAATAAACTGCACTAACAACGGGTTCTTCAGATAAGGTAGCAAATTCAACGATTGTCAAAGAACACGAAGGTCAGGGTAATATGGACACTACAGGTCACTATACGCCAGAGCATTCCATACAAACTGAAGACAGCTCGTCTACTGTACCCGACCATACCACAAACACTGCAGGCGATGACACTCGGAGACCCCAAGAGTATTCAGCATATGAGGAACTTGTACATGAGGAACCAAAGGATTCGTCATTAGGACTTAGCAAGCAAATGGGGTTTACTTATAAAGACCCAGAAACTGAAGATTTAGACGAGAATGTTGCTGGTACAAGGAGGACGGAGACACACACAGCCACAACTATGAGGTCTTCATTAGGTCCGTACGAGTCATACGTACTTAAGGGAGCTTCCTCAGGCTCCTCTTCCTCCTCTCTTCGTTCCTTGAAAAACAATTCTTTAACACATCTATCTCGTGAAAATCCCAGTGAAAATTCTTCCGTCCCGCACCCAGAGTATTTACCCGAGGAAACAAGGACGCTCCCTAGTGATCTAATTCTGTGTGTAGAAACTCCAGTAGATGCCTCAGGTAATGAATCTTCAGTTGATGATGAGAGAGACCTTGACAGCCCTGACCACCCGGAGATTACAGATTCAGCAGAAGGTGACCAGGGCAGCTATAATGGACGTAGGACCGCCCTGACTCTTTACATTCAAAGGCAAAATCTATCCAAACATGCGTGTTGTCATAGGTCTTATTTGACACAGAACGGCCCTCCTTGCTACCTTTGCTCTATGTCAGATATTCCGCCAAAGTACAAGAGAGAAAAGCCTGGATGGCAAAAGACTAAAGAGAAATTTGCGGGTATGTTTCAAAGTCTAGCAACTTTAGACTTTTCCCACAGAACAAGGGATTCGCCTTCTCCTCCGGATATTGAAGGGAATACAGTTACTTTCACCTTAAGTAATGAGATATTAACTCAGGATGTAAACAACTCGACCAGCGATCCTTATGTGACGTCTTCAAGCTCATCCTCTCCCGAAGTGTTGTCAGTAAGTGCAGGCGAAGAAGGCAGAAGTGCCAGCATCGACGACATACCCAGAGTTCATCACCAGGCCAGGGTTTCGCATCAACAAAGTTACCAAAATAGGTCGTATGTATTGTCATCGTTGGGCGGCGACCTAGACGTTGTACACTACTCAGAGACCGCACCTACCATACCCACCCAACACTCACTTTCTCACCTTGACTTAGTGCCTCCACCATACACGCCACCAACCCCGGGATCTCTTATCTCCGGCTTGTCTCAGCAGCAACAACAACAGCTACAGCAAGATGTACGCACCGTCTCCGAAGTAAATGGACGTAGCTGTATCTGCCCCCGAAACCTGTGAGTTACTGTAACTGTTATAAATTAAAGGGTTTTGATACTCACTGTTTGGAGGAGGTCAGTGGCAGGTCAAAGGATCACTTGTCCTGCCCCCTCGTATTTTCTTCCCTGGTTCTTGTTGTGTTTCCTATTTCTTCCAAATTACAGTTTTTACCAGAATACGATATATACAGCAAAACTAACGTGGAATTGACACTAATAGGAACAGGCTCTGCCGTCAGTGGCGGCTGATAAAATTAAAGCCGACTTCTTGCAGGCTTAAGACACCAACACGAATTTTTATTCTTCTGAACTCAATGACATACTGTATATAGAGCCAAGGCTTCATGATTAATATTAACAGTATGTGTACTTAAACAATTCAGATATAAAAATACACCCAAAACTAATAATTTGCCACCAAACAGTAGGTACCAATTAGAAGAAGAAAAAAAAGATGAAACAGTAAGACTATACACTGTAGGTTAACTACAACAATCACAAATAGTAGAAATACAGTACTGCACTACAAAGCTCAAGTTATATCTGTGAATTTAAAGTGATGCAGTACAAGTTATGTGTTAAATTTCCATAACTCTTTATTTTTTTTTCTCTTTGGTGGTGAGGTGGTGAGGACGGTGGTAAAAAGTTAACAAGTGTTGTCACCCTGGGCGTCAAATGGTTATTTATTGAATTGAACTCTTTAATTTTTTTCTTTAAATATCCGAGATTTAATACCCGAGTTACCGATGCAAATTTTAATTGATTGCGTTAAGTTGACAATATTATAAGTTCATTAATAAGAATTCAAAGGTGATTTATCTTAAGTAAAATTATCATTTCGATCATTCACCTATTTGGAAATTGCTCAAAGCACATCAAAAACCTCCAGAAAAACTTAATTTCAGCTTAACCTAATCCAATCCAACCCAACTTAACCCAAACTTAAAATCCTAAAATTTGCTGGATGACCGAAACGATAATAATACCTTAACTTATATTGAGGAGTTTATCAACACTATACTGAATTATTGAATTACCAGTGATGGAGTTTAGATAAAGCCATTTAACGATCACCTGATAAAAACATTTCCTCTCCAGTTTAATGGATTTTGTTTGACCGTAAACTTAAATGGCAATGTTAATGTAGGGAACGAGCTCAAAAGATTAAATTAAAAAGTCCATTATGTGTTTTCTTCTCTATACCCTGGGGAGATTCTGTATGTCTTCTACCATCCCCATTTTCATTTCACATGTTGTTCATTTACTTTAAAGATATACGTAGTACATATTACAATTCAAAGAGTTTCTCTCACTCTGCTGGAGTAAGTCTCACTTTGTTTCACTAGGGATGAAACCTAACCCAATCAGTTTGCTGACTTTTGTATTCCACTGTTTAGCTGAGGTGGCAGTGTGATGCTATCCTTGTGGTCCACGTGTATGTTTGAGAGTCAGTGTGAAAATCTGTTGTTGTGGATATTTTACCATTTCACTAGTTATCAGCTTACTACCCGTTTTTTGTATTGGTTTATCCAGTGTTAGTACAGGACGAAACCGGAGTCTGGGGAACCTGTTATGCTTGATAGTGTCACACTGGATAACACCTTCTCACGTGTTAGGGCCACCAACATGATACTGTATAATGGTATATTAATGCTGTGGTTGCAACAGGGTATGGGTATTAGTCTACTTCGGTCAGGCTAATGTATTGGTTAACTAGTGTTAGGTGATACATTTTCACTGAATGGCATCACATAAAGAATGTATAATGTTCCTTTGTTCTTGTTGAATGAATTATCTCTAGTATGTCAATAAATAATGATCTAAATATAATATAGTAGTATACAGTACATAATATTTCTTATATAGTTAGTTTCTTCATTAACTTTACATCTTATTCCACCAGGCAGCACAATATGATTTACTCTGCCTTGTTAGCCTCTGTGACGGCTGTAGCGGTATTTGGATATGACCAGTCCTTTGTCATCCTCGTGTGTGCCATAATATTCTTCACAATCTTCTGCTTCATGCCGCTCATCTTTTTATTGGAAAATCTACTTCGCTGGAAGACCGAGGTCTTGTTAAGGAATGCTATGGGACAACCGACATCTGAAACTTTAGTCAACCCTGCATTTTCTATTCCAATTCGATGATGATAACACTGTGCTTCTGTTGGTATTCCTCAGCAGTTATTGTATACAGTATTGTGTTGGTATTTTGAAGTGACACTAGAAAATAATTATCAATATACAGGTACATGATTACTCTTAAATTTATTATAACTCACCAATGCAGAATATAATATTATGTGACTCTTTGAGATGTTAAAAAACTGGTAATATCAAGATCCAAGATAAAAATGATCATAATTGTTGTGAACATATAAAATAAACCACATGTCTGTATCTTTAATTTACTGTGCTGTACAGTACGTGGGTTTCACTGGGCCAAAGCTTGTTACAAATGGGTCTTGAACAGTATTCAATTTTTAATTGGTTTTGGCTTAATGGACTAAGATCAATATATTTTTAGTACCTGTACTGTAATCTCAGTCAGTATCTAGAAAGACTTCATGTATTCATTTGTTTTTGCATTTTCTTTTACTTTTTTAATAATTTGTTCTGTAGCCGTTACTATAGCTTTTCAAATAGCATTACTGTTAGCGTGTTCTACAAATACTGTACCTGTGATACTGCAATGAAATAATTATTTACCACAAAAACTACTCTATACGATTAAATAATTTTTAAAAACTTTGTACAGGTTATACTGTAGTTACATAATACTGTACTGTAACTTATAAAGTATACATAGCTCTGGTTGTAAAATTGAAGTTAAAAGTGAAATTGAGAGATTAGCTTCTATATTATGTCATTCCTACTCCTGTGAACTGGCATCTTTACACGAAAAAGATTAGCCTTAACGTACTGTAGTTATCAGCCATGAACAGACTCTAATAAACATTTTTGCTCTCATGTGAGGTTGGGATTTTGCCAGTTATTTAAGTATGTATGAGTAAAGTGATATATAATACTGAAAATGACCCGCCTTACTTAAACAGTCACCTTGTTTCGTATATGATCCTTTACTTGCTGTACAAATATGTATTCTCAATAAAAAAAAGTGTGTATCGTGTATAATTCATCCATAAATACGGCTTCATTAATAAAAAGGTTCCAGTAGACTCTCATGTGTCCACCGCAATATAAAACAAAGTTTACAAAAACAATAAACAGTGGCCTCCCCATAAGTCAGCAATGTTTCTGTTGTGCATAGGCTGCCTTCAGAATATATTAATTTTCTTAACCTGTATTTACTATATCTATTTATGAACTATAATGTTATAACAAAAAACATTTAAATTGTTATAAATTCTCATGGAAAAAATGATGTGAAAACAATCACCTAATTTTATCAGTGTGATGCATGGGCTTGGATTGTAACACAGTTTCTTCAATTCCACTTAGTGATGATATGCAGTAGTGACTTGTAGTTCTTTTTCTTTTTACTGTACCATCTGACAGAACCACTTACTGGTAGTATTCTTGTTTCTTAAAATTAGTATCATAAAAGGAAGAAAACTGTTCTGGCCTTGTCAGGTTCAATGGGACATAAAGGGTTTGGAGAAATGACCACTGTGAGACAGACCTGGAGTCCTATAATATACAGGTCAAGGTTAAAAATAAGTTCAGGGTGTATGGTATACTTGAAGACATTTTTATTTTACTGTATAAAAATACTATACACTGTCCAGGAACTATATGCTTTTTTATATAAGAAACAGTGTAATGGATCAATCCTCCGTAACACCACATGCCTGGCCTCGACTCTCTCCCTAGCAACGCAAACATACATATGCAGCTTTTATACCCTACAAGGTTTTATAAATAAATGTACTGCATGTATGAACACTTACCTATTATTTTTATTAATTTATTTTATTTTATTTATATATTTTTTTTTTACATGAGATAATATTGGTAATCATAAGGGCAGGGAAAATACACATATGCCAGGCACTCACACTTGTCTTTGTGTTTATTTCTTCCATTTCCTCAGTTTTATTTTGTTTTATTATAGTGATCTATTCTTGTACTTTTATTTGATGAAAATTTTGAAGCTGTAGGAAAATGTGAAATTTAAAAAAGTAAAAATATACAATTTATCTAAATGTAAGTAAAAAAAAAATACTAATAATAATTTTGCAGTATTAAAAAATTATGAAGCATCCTCTATGAATTAATTTTCTTCAAATTAGTAAAAAAAATGGTTTCCCTATTCTTTAGAATGTATTTTATCAATGCAGATATTAAACACCTTTGTGTACATTAATAGTGATTTAATGAGTAGGGTTGACTATTACTGTTTGTACCATACTGTAAGTTTTTTCCTGTCTGGAATTTACAGTACAGTACTGTACTGTACATATTTTAAGATTTTTTTATTTAAACTTGAATATTCTTAAAATTGTACAATTTTGAGGCATTTCCAGGTTCTAGGCACTACCTGTACTAAAAAATTGGGAGATTCACATCATAACATTTTCTTATAATGGGCAAAGTCCCTGGAAAATTGGGAAATTACTTTCCTTCCACTGATATCAAATAGAAATAACAGGATGTCTCCCACCACAGCAGGGGACATAGAACCCATGTATAGTACAGTATAATGGGAATGACTTAGAGTTAACTCACTATAACATTCTGTAGGAAATAACACAGACAACTTTCTCCATTTAATTGAATTATTTAAACATATTTGATGTAAATCTGAATTTTTTTTATAATTTACTTTAATCTCTCAAACTCTTGAGTTTAAAATGGCAGTACTCTGCATCCATATGTCAGCCACATACATATAACTAAGTAAATGTTATGTTATTCATCAAATTAATATTAATTTTGATCAACTTTTACTCTGTAGATACACATGGTAAAAAAGTATCTACCACATTGTATGTGAAACAATATAACACAGACAATCGATATTGTGATATGCCCGTTGGTCCTACCCCATGTTGGCATACCTCAATATCTGCTGACTCTGGTGTCCTATTGTTTCACACAGGAGACTGGATAGATAAATTTTTACAGTGTATACTAGTAGCTTTATGTGTGACAGTACGTTTATATGCTAAATTGATCATTCGTAGTAGAGTACTGTACTGTATGTTGTACTTTATTATGTATGCTTGTTTACAAAAAATTTATGATGGCTTACAATTTATAAATTTTTTAATGTGGATTAGCCTCCCGGCCACAGGTCACTGACCCACATCAGGGCCGGGGGAGGGCCCAAAAGAGCAGAAGAAAAAATTAATTGCACAATAAGTAAATAAATAAATACAGAAATGGAAAAAATAAAACAGATCAAGAGTAAGAAATGATATACCGGGTACGTGTATGTTGTGTTGTCAAAGTAAGAGACACAATTGACTACTCGCAATTGTGTGTAAAAGTGGCAGAAAGTCAGATCAGCACATGGTCACAATTTTTGTGATGCCACATGGCAGCAGGGTCTACCACTGGACAACACATTATGCCTCCAATATCTTCCCAGGCGGTCGTACCTCCCTATTTGATAGCTGCCTACTACCTAAATCCTACTTTCTGCTACACTTTACCAGGATAAATCATAAACAAGAAATTTCTTCAACTACTGTAACTCTAAATGACCCATGAAAGGACTGGGCTGCTCTGTATATGAAAACCAGCTATGGAGGGAGGAGGAGGCACCAAATGACTCCAAGTGCTTCACTAAGGACTCGATGTAGTGTGGATGTAGGTCCTACAGTGACATCATGCCTAATAGGCAGAGTCCTAGCAGTTGCTTTCCTGTTATATTTAAAAAAATGTTTTATATTAAAATTATGTCATGAAAATACATTTATTATCTGATTGTATTCATTTCATGGAAAGTACTAAAAAAAAAGAAAAAAGAATATAGAGCTCTTAAAAAGGTGAAGCACTCCATTGCCTTTCCATGAATACCTTTGAAAAAAAAAAAGGATGATAAAATCTAAAAAAAATTGTATACAATATTTATTAATAAAGCATATGAGTAATATGGCACTGGTGATGATACAGTTACAATAGAAGGGGCAGTGTGATCCTGTACAAGTTGTTATTTTTTTGCCTGTCTTAATCAAGTACTTCACACATCATCTACTCACCATGGTCAAAGATGTAGCTCCCTACATCTTAACTCTGTTCACTAAGCAGATATGTGCACAGATCATTTATTTCATTGTGCATTATCTGATTAGTTGATTTATCCTTGTGTAGCAGTCATCACTTAATTCTGAAAAAATAGTACAGCACACAACACTTGAACCTATTAGTTATCATTGGATACCAGATGCCTTTCTTCTAAGCATTCTTGCCTATTTTGTATTGTATGATGAAAAGCAAACTGGATGTATAGATAAAATTTTGAAATGTTATGTACTAGATATTTCAACATGTGAATCTTTTAAATTACTGCACCTTTAAAATCCATTTTGACTGTGCATTTAATGATAATGGTCCTGAAGCACATTCTCAGCCATTTGAAAAATATATACATGAGGTACTGCTACCTTGTTCCTTGAATATTACAAATAATATAAACAACAATTACATTTGCATGGCATACTGCAAAATTATATCTTGGAATAAACAAGCACTAAACTTGCTACACCGGTCAGGAGACTATGACATACATATCATTTATTGCAAAAAAGTTTATGCCAGCAGGCTTAACTGAGATAATTATTATGTGTAGTAGTTCACCACTGTACAACAAATTTCTTACTATTAACATATAACATCACTCACAAACATAAATGCATTATAATGGAGGTTATCTGGCATACAGACCTGTCAGGCCTGCCATGTAGCTGCCAAGGGCGGGGAGAGGGAGGAGAGTGACAGGTCACGTTAGCTATTTGGAGAACGTCTCCATTTTATACATCAGAACCAAACTTGGTTCCGTCTCAAGTCCCTGTGCCAACATGGAGACACGACTTGACTAATGTTGACCTGAGTCCTTAACAGTAAATGTGGAGCATCATGACGTTATTTCACTAACTGACATCCAGACACAGGTAATCCATTCAGAATAAATGCTGTACATTTCTTAGGAATTACCCAAAATGCCTTACATACTGGCGGAATGAGTCAATGTCGAAGAGCCAAAGGGGCTTACAACAAAAAACTGTTACATAATAAAGTAGGTGCAAAGGGGATGATGATTTGAACACTAATGCTCTGGATGAGTATGACTTGCACCTAAGTCACAATTACCATAATGAAATGAAAAGCCTCGAATAAGGCCTCAAATTTGGCTGAATGTTTTACTTAATGTATCTGTGAAAGCAACAACTGCTTGCTTCTTTTCCCTCTCAACAATTAAGTTCCTCTCACTGATACAATCGACAATATTACAGTATTTCCTCTATCAGACTTTATTCCACAAATGCAAAATCCATTTAATATACTGGACTAAGTTTCATAAAAATCTTCTTGTTTTGCTGAAAAGGCTTAGCAAAAAGGAACAATATAAAGTGAGCAAATTTTAAATCCCTGTGCTCTCCTTTGATCACAAATCCCACTTTTCTGCTAATTTAAATGCATTAGGCAGACAATTTGATTATGATATAGGTAATGGCACATAGCTGTAACTCCTGCATAAGTACCCTAACCTAGATTGTGACTGAAGTTGTCCTCATGACCCCCTCCACAAGACCTAATTGAAGAGAAAGAATTCCTCCCAGATTGATAAGACTTAGCCTCTTAGCATTGTTATCTTTTATATCAATCCCAGGACACACTTGTTATGACAGCTGGAGAGGATGAATGACTGTATACTCTTTATTCTGAAAATCCTGCAGCATAGCAGGAAAAGGCTTGTAAAAGTGAAAAAATATCTGCAACAGCCCATGACAGTGCAAGAAAGGCAATTGAATTATAATGTAGATCTCAGCGTCATATTTGTGATTTATGACATTATACACTGATCTACAGTATAGTTAAAGTATTTTATGGTGCAAGCAGAATGCAATTGCTTCACTGTGAAACTGCTAAAGAATCATGCAGAATAATTTGGCATATTTTGAGCCCAGCTGCTACAAGTTCAACACCAAAATGTGTGATGTATGCAACAGCCACATTAATGAGGAGTGATTCTTCCTCTCTAATCGTGTTCTCAGATGTGGGATATATGTATCAGTTATAAGTTTGTATATGACACTGATTTCCAACTTCGATATGAAGTCTTTGTATCTGCACCTATAATGCCAGAGTTCACAGCCTTAGTTACCATCACTACTAAGCATACCCAATTTACAATACAGTACTATCTCTGTGGCTATTCTATGAGACACTGCCTATGTTTAAATTCCACAGTTCTATCCTCAATTGGGGCACCTCAGTCGTAAGTGAAAGCTTTAACGATAAACATCAAGGCCGCATATAATTGATAGCTTTGGAATAATATATTTTGTTGACTGAATACTCATAAGTCATCCTTATATGCTGTACACAAAATGCCAATACAGTATTTACAATACCTTCCACTATCTGAATAAAATCACAGAGAAGGTTGACAATATATGACGATGAGATGTGATGAACTTCATGAAGTACAAGATAAAATTTCCATGCACAAATGAAATGTACAAAGCTGATAATTCCCTCCCACCCCATACCCACCTCCAAGCACCCTTCTTACCCCTTATCCCGGTCTGTGCTGAACACTTGCCGGATAACAACGTCAATATGGTATACATGTGTAGTGTCAAGACTGCTTGCAGGAAGCAATCGATTTGACACTAATACATGAGATCGGTTTGCGTCTCCTCCTCTTGTTGTGGGCACCACGCGTCTCTTGAAGATCTGTAGCAGACAAGTCTGATCGATTTTCGGCTTGGTTCCTTGTCGCTGTTGAAGACATCATCATGATTAACTTCACATTAAATATTATGGAAATATGTGGGTAGGTAAGGTGTGGAAGGTACAGTGTTATACAAGGATACTGTACTTGGTATGAATTTATACTCTGTTTGCACCTAACATACCTTCAATATTTAAATCAGTTTCTCCCTTCTGAGTTTGTTTTGTTCATGCATACAAGCAAATAAATATATAGTACTCACTCAGAGAAATACAAGAGAATTGAGCACAAGAAACATTATTAAGTTATTCAAGGATTTAATGAATGCACCTGCTTATATGTGCCTGTGTGGTGTATGTAAATGTGTGCACAAGTTTTCTTTTACAAATGTAAAGTACAGTAATAGCAATTCACAAAATTTATCATAATAGAATCAAGTTTTCTTAAATGCTCTGAGGTACCTAACAACACTTCAGTTGGCAGTGTTGCTAAGATTTGTATTAATACCTCATAACCAATTTTTTTAAGTACAATATACAGAGGTGGCTGGAACCAACAGCAAACACACTCCCTCTTCAATCTATCATTCATTCACTCTTATTGTTCCAAGTGATGCTCATGCACATGCCTCATGTAGTGATATCTCCGTTAGCTGGAACAATTGGTGCAGAGCACTTTCGGAATGAGAGATTTCCAGGTAACGAAATGGCTCTCTCAATCCTTGAAAAAAATCCCCCATCCCCGGAATTTTTCCGGGTACTGAGAAAAGTTTCTCAGAATTTTCCAGAAATTGGGCATTATTTCAACCTCAGCATTTGCTCCAAAAAATGGGAAACATTTGGAGAGCTTCCAGAATTTTCCAAAATTACACATTATTTCATCATGGGAATTTGCTCCGAGACCCATAATTTTTTGGGGGAGGAGTTTCCGAAAAGTTTCTCAGAATTTCCAGAAAATGCGCCTGATTTTCAACTACAGAAAATCGTTTCCAAACCCAGAATTGAGAGAAATTTTCCAGAAATATTCCAAGCAAATTGCAATTCCGGTTATTGGAGAGTTCTGGCTATGTGTGATTCCAGCTAACAGAGATATTTAATGGGTAATTAATCAAAGTGGACAATTTCCCTTGCCAGGACCTCAAACATCAGTAACTTTTGGCCCTTTATTATCAGCCCCTAAGAAACTCAACCATCCATCAGTACAAACCATTTAGTTCATGCTCCGTGATTAGTTCATCTTCTGACTCAGAATCATAATAATGATATCGTAAATATGGGACTATGGTTATGCTGTGACGGTCATCATCTCCTCCAACTGACACTTCTTCATCTGTGCATGGATGCTTCTTGCAACACCAGCTGTTAAGTAAACACTAAAGTTAATAACAGTAACACTGGTAAACTCAATTCCAGGTACAATATTGGCCCCAAACTGAGATTTTAGCATAGAATTAAAATAATATCAACAATACAGCTAACTAGCAACAAGATTAAAGTGTCCAGTCAAAATACATTTCTTATTTGTTCACTCTAGTACACACTTTCCTGATAAAGCAAAAGGTGACTGGGATTAAGATCAACTAAGACTCCCTCTTTTCTGAATGTCTTCGTCCTTTTCTATGGCTTTTTGGACTGTCTTACACCACTCTCCCTAATTATCTGCCCATTTTTGTTTCAGGTTCCTATACCCTTTGACCCAACCCACACAAAACCGGAAGAAGAGTAAAGACAATGAATAGATAGAAAAAAAATAAGATAATCACTTAAATTGAAACAGTTTAAAGAAGAGAAAAATAGATATAATGGAACCCACTCATGAACTTTGACTTGTGCCAGTGACATGCGTTGGTAGGGGTCCTTCACCAACATGCCCTCCAGCAAAGATTTGAGCACTGGGTCCAGTTCTTCAGGTACAACTAGAGGCTTCTCACAAATGTTTTCAAATAGACGGAACATGTTTTCTCCTTCAAATGGATATTTTCCACTTGTAAGGTTAAACCTGAAAAACAAAATATTTGGGGTCAAAATTCATGTAAAAACTTTACTCGGACAAGTCCTTGTTATGTTTATATTATTGTTTACAGCAATTCAACAACCAGTTTTTAGATTGAGTAAACTTTAATCCAGCAGTACTGTACTATGCTGTACCAGACTAATCACAACACAGGAGAATACAAAACAGTGGAAATTCCTATAACAAATCATTCTTTGTTCACAAACTGCTGCGGTATGCATAAACTTTCCCACATCATTTGACACAACCTGATGTCTTACACTGTTGTAACAATATATTTGGATGTTCTAACCTTATCCACATGTCTTAAGGAACGTTATCTTAATTAAATAAAATCCAGTAATTCTTATTTCTGGGAACAGAACAATATCGTACACAAAAACAATGAAATCAATAAAAGATAAAAAACCTACAGAAATTGCCCTAATTTTATAAGTGATACACTCAACTCAATTGCACAACCTGGATACTTATGATGCAAGTACAGTACAGTAGATCCCCCAAAAATTTTTATTCAGTTTACAAACTTAAGAAAACATGATGAATTTAAAATCAGTTACTGTACATGATTGAATATATGTAAGATGTAACTATAGCCGCAGCAAGACACACTAGCAGAGGCAGATCAAAGACATGTGAATGTGGACAAGGAATAGTAACAGTTGATGCATTGATCACTTTGACACATGTGACAGTAGAGTTGTGCATTAAAGCATGGCCAGGAGGCATGGTGGACAGAGACCATTGATTGTAGGGTTGACAGTTAACTTGGATATGACCCCCTGTAACTCAGGGACAGGGTATAAGTATACTACATCGTTAAAGCGAATGATTATAACACGAGACATTGTAACTTGGGGGTATCCTGTACTGTGATTTATTACGAGCTTTCCTTGGAGTCAAGTTTATGATAGTACAGTGTCAATTTTAAGTAATAATCCATTTTACCAAAACCTTGAAGTCCCAAATTTTTCAATTACCAGACACTGTACTTATTGTAACATTCTTATGACAACATTATTACATTTTTGTATTTATAATATGGTTGATAAAGGTCTTAAGGGAAATCTTATTATGTTTTGGGAAAGATTTTTCCATAACAATGTATTTTCAATTTTATAATGGGACAGAATTAGAAACTAACTAGAATTCAATTTATGGACTTTTCAAGAATGTGACCCTTGTGTAAATCACGGGAGATCTATAAATACAGTATAAAAGTCTTAAAAGTCTAAGTAAAAACTTACAGAGTACAACCAGCACTCCACACGTCCACCTTAAACCCTGGAAACATTCTAGCTCCCCCAGCCACCTCTGGAGGCTGGAAGAGGGGTGAGCCTTGACTGGTAGTGATCTCATCATTGCCTGTTGTTACATCCAATTGCTGAAAAAGAAAAATGCTCTCTGGTAATGTACTGTATTGTATTGTGGAAATATATGAAGCTTATCACCTAATTATGCTACGGAGAAATGTTTACGGCACTGAGGGAGAGTTTACTAAATACAGGTAGACTTTGAATAGTGCACATTTTTATAACACCCATGTTTAAATTTTTTGGGTAGAATAAATAAATAAACATAAAAATAAATAAAATGAATAGAAAAAAACTAAATGCAGCAAATAAATGCTAAATAGTAATTAAATTCTTCATAGGGTTCCAAAGTCTTTATATATGCTTTTCAATATCTGAAACTGGCTCTGATCTTCTACAAGTCTTCCTTGTTCATCCATCCCATAATTCCTAGCAATCTTTAGTCCTCTCTGATACCTAGCAATGTACAGTACCATTCAGTACTCATAATTCAATGCCAACAATCCACAAGGATTAATATACTGTACTGTATACATTATTAACTTATAATGGGGAACAAACTGCTAAACACTTATACAGTAGCTTACCTCTGCAACCCCAAAGTCTGAAATCTTTAGACTGCTATCGGTACTGAGGAGAAGATTGCCAGGTTTAATGTCTTTGTGCACTACACCTCGACTGTGCAGGTATTCCAGCCCCTCCACCAGCTGTACAAAATACCTGTAAGAAAAGAAACGATTTATTTTAATACATATTTCTCAGCACAGTAAAGATAAAATATATTGATGTTTTGATAATTATATACCGTAAGTCTTTTGAGAAAGGGACTAAATACTACCTACTACAGTATATACTATAGTGATTAATGGCCTGCAGTAGTTTCCTTATATAGGACTGTAGCTACATTTTCTTATACAAACTTTCCACAGTGTTGAAGTAAATAATATTAACATAAGTATAAGTTAATCATAAAAACTGTGCATGCCCAATGCCATGCATAAATAATAATTCAAATTTACAAAGTAAAGAACTATAATATAATATAATAAACTACATTAAAACAAGTACTGTACATAAGAACATTCAATATGTATGCTCCTTAAAAACTCACATGTGTGCTTGCCAGATTGGAAATTTCTTATCTTTGGCTCTGTCCAGCATTTCTTGAAGTCCAGTGACACAGAACTCCATTACCATGTATATCTGAAAAAATTGATACTGTACTGTACAGGGTAATTGTTTAAAATACTTAATTACTATAACAACAAAAAATCACTGTACTATTAAAATGCTCCAGAACTATTCCTTTTGACACTTCCATTTATATAGTTAACCTAAAACTTCCATAAACACACATCTCCACTACATGGGATCTCGTGTCACTTCCTCATTGACAAGTTTCTTGATTACAAAATAGTAAATAATTGCTGACTCATCATGACATGAAACACTTATACAGTATATTGTACAATGATGCAATTTTCAGCACCCTCCAAACGATAACAAACCAACATAAAATAGCATGTTCAGTTATTTACAATTCATTCTACATATTAAAAATCTGCTACAGTAGCATGAAGCTATCATTAAGATAAAGTACAGTAGAGTACAGTACTTCAATATTTTCACGGTTCATACTTTGCCCTTTTCGTCATTGTGGTACACGTGGAATAAACTGATGACATTCCGGTGTTTCAATCTCCGTAATAATCTAATCTCCCGCTGAACATTCTGGTCGCCGTTTGGAATTCTTCGAAGGGTTTTGCGTTTCATAATCTTGACTGCTCGCCGCTGAAGGGTGTCCGAGTCCAGGCATTCTTTTACCTTTCCGTAGCTCCCCTCACCGAGCTTGTCGCCCATCACATATTTGCCAACCAACTGAGTGAAAAAATAATAATAATAATAATATTTACTGATTGCTAATTTGGTTGCTATGTCAAAGAGAGTTCAATGTTAATAAAATATTTGTTATCTGAAGATGTCATGCCCTCCTGCTTTAGGCTCATTCCACAACACTGTCACAAACATGTTAAAAATCATCAGTGTTCTATTGTCCATAACTGCCATTTGTCTTAAGGTTTATGAAATTCTACTGAAGACTGTTGTACAAGTTGATTTTCCAATGTTATGAGGGGGGTGGAGTGTGTGAAAACGAAAAGGTATTGGTGCCTTTGAAAGCAATCCAGGACAAGGCACAACAATTACTTAGAATAAGGTGTACAAATTGCTATCTTCCTGCCAATGCTGTTACACCTCAGAAATTATCTCTTGGGAGGCCCAGAAACATCTCCAAGGGCACTGACATGAGATGAGATGAGTCAAAAACTTAAGATTCAACTCTGGTTGCAAAAGAAGATTCTGTACTACCAAAACACCACTCCTAACATATGTATGAAGAATTTTTTATTGCTACAGTGGCTGGGGAGCTCACCACTTATACATGATAGAGAATACATGGAATGTGATGACACACACAAGCTGCCAATACAAAACATAAGTAGGTCTGGACAACAGGGATGGTTCGTGATTATTTCTAAACAATCGCTGAAGTCATGACAAGTCAATTTCAATTGGTGTTAAAATCCAAGACATACCAAAAGACTGGTATTAAATAATTTGAAAATAGACGTTTGCATGTGTTTCATTGTTTTAATCATTAGTTAAGTAGCAACTTTGTTACAAGTCATGTAAAAAGGTTATATATATCAATAGTGTTTGCAGACAGTGTATGATACCTACTACTGAGATACATGTAAACATAAAAATGGTCTTCTTGGAAAAAGTAGGAAAGTAAGGATATGTTGTCATCATGATGTAATATGACTTTTGACAAAATGGTCAACAGAACATAAAATCCAAAAGATTACAAAAGGCTGCTTAAAAGTACAGTATATACAGTACAGTCACAGACAAAAGTCTGCTCCCAATGGTGAAACTGAGTCACGGGAACGAGTCTCCCAACATATTTACCCTGACTGTCATCTGGTGAGATTGTGCTGTTTTATTTCATTTGGGGGTGGATGCTGTTTCAGTTTGGGAGGGAGTGAACTTTTTACCCCGACAGTACATTGTATACCAGTGTAACAGTATTAGCTGTGAACAACAAGTAAGAGAAAATAAAATTCACATGACACAGAGTTTCACCATTACAGTAGATAACCTAAATATTTTACTGTCATGAGTAAAAAAAAACTATATATAAAAATTTGAGGATTATGCATCATCAAAAGCTTCATATCAGTTGGTTACACATAATTTTAGTCTTAGTACAGAAAAAAAAACTGATAAGATTTAGGAAACCCAAATACACTGTACAGCACAGTAATGGGTTATTCTACAATTCATTTAATCAAATCTAAATAAACTACCCAAACCTAATGTAAAGATTCCAACCTAACCTATCACAATTAATAACCAATCAAATATTATTCAAACAAACTATCCCATATAACCTAACTTAATCCAGATATACAATAATTAATTAAATCGACTGCACAGATTAACTAGGTTTTTTACCGTTTCCAGGGAGATAAAAACTGAGTCATCATCTTATCTAATCTATAATGCCTCACTCCTGTAGGGAGTTCCTCACTGAGGGGTTGGCCATGGCTGAAGACTTTACACACTATGAAAACAGAAAACAATATTCTTTCTACAGTAACTTCAGATTAATGAGTACTAATAACTTCCACCTGTTTCTGCAATGAAGAAATAAAACATTATATAAATAAAAATCCTTTTCCAACCTAAATATTGTACAGTAAATGTTAGTCAAAAGGATGGAAAGAGGCCAAGAGATCTGAACTGGTGTAAACCTAACCAGCTGTTTTTTAAATGACAACTCAAAAGTAATACATAATAGCAAGGAAGATTTTCTGTGAGTTTGGTGACTATTTTCCAGAGGGCATCAGACACATACAAAATCTGTGCAACTCAAAGCAAATCCATGAGGGTAAACATAACTGTGTCAGGTTTCAGCTGTGATGAAGAGAATGGGCACTTTATATGGAGAATTTCAATCTTATTTACAGTGCATGGTGATTAAATGATATGGTAATATCTTATTTAAGGGATACCACCTTAACCCTCCTGTGCATCATGATACGAATCCCGTCAAATCACTGGGTAACGCTATTTGAATCGGTGACACGAATCCCATTATTAACCTTAAAAAATTACCCCAAAAATTAAGCTTTCAAGATAATTGCATGAAATTTTTGTGCGTCAAAGATGAATGCATGATCTTGCGAGTGAAGCTTCCACAAAGCTCTAAAATGCTGGTGGAGTTCTGGTGTCCATCAGTTTCCTCCTGTCAGCTGTACTGCTAAGTAGCATTTGTCTCTTTAATTCTTCTCTCACCCTCCCCATAATTAATTGTGTCAAAATTCCAAAGCCACCGTTGGAAAGCTCATAAAACTTCACTTCTATAACTATATCAAGAGATATGAGGCACGGAACAAATAATTTTATGTTTTTGTTAAAGCCAGTGATGTATAAATCATGACCAAAAAAAAAAAAAGACTATTTCTTGTGGGATAAATTAGTCGCAGAACGAAGATGACCAGATATCACTTGTGATTCCATCTGACTTTTGTTGTTGTGACGGAAACTTAAAAACTTATTGCAGCTTGAGAGAGTTAACATAATACTGGTAGCTATTAGCTTTTCTCTACATTTTTTAAAGGAAGTGTTTCTTAAATAAAGTACTATTATATAAATCGTTAACTTCCTGTTGCATACAAATACATCCTCCTTTATGCCAACACCTATTATGCCAATAGTTATGTGACTTTGGAACTTTGTAACATCACAGAACTATGTTTGACTTTCGTAAAATTTATTAAGAAAAAAGCATTGGCAAAGCTTAATGGTTCATTCCTGCTATAATCAGATATAGTTCAGATAGACTTTTTTTTTATTTGCTGAAGCACCAAAGACCAATAAACAGTGGAGTCACACACTGCAGAATACTGTACAAGAAAAACTATGGTACTTGTCACATCAGGAGTTTGAAGATTTCTAAACTAAAAACAAATAAATACACTTCTAATTAATAAAACTATAATTCTAAATCAATTGACAGCCCCTTTTCTCACCATACAGCTATTATAGCCTCGTACGCTATTTATACCTAACTAATCCGGACTTAACCTAACCTTACCTAACCTAATCAGTGTATGGTGGAAATAGCCACAATTTTCACCAAACAATGATTGTAGTCTCATATGCTATTTTCACCATACCTAACCTAAGATAACCCAGAATCACATTTATGAAACAACTGTATATAATTTGAAAATAGCAATTGATACTGATACTATTAACTACCATCGGTCCGACTAATTACCCAAATGTACCCAAATGGAGCCAAATATAGCCGCAATGAAGTCAAATAATGGTCCTACATGAATAAATCGGACTGCTAATCACTTCTCGACTAGTATTTGGTGTCAGAAAGTCACAAAAAATTGGAAAACTTACTTTAATCTGAGTTAAAAGAACGCGTGCATATACCGACGGAGCGAGGAATTACCCAAATGTAGTCGCAATGAAGTCAAATGATGGTCGTACAAGCGTAATTCGGGCTGTGAATCACTTCTCGATTATTATTTGGTGTCATAAAGTCAAAAAAAAATTGGTAAACTTAATTTAATCTGAGTTGTGTTGTGTTAGGTTAGGTTAGGTTAGATTAGATTAGGTTAGGTTAGGTACATGCACTTGATCTATTAACTCAGATTAAATTAAGTTCACCAATTTTTTGTGACTTCGTGACACCAAATACTAGTCGAGGTTAGGTTAGGTTAGGTTAGGTACAAGCACTCGATCTATTAACTCAGATTAAATTAAGTTTACCAATTTTTTGTGACTTTCTGACACCAAATACTAGTTGAGAAGTGATTGGCAGTCCGATTTATTCATCTAGGACCATTATTTGACTTCATTCCGGCTATATTTGGGTAATTAGTCGGACCCACTACCATAGTGAAAATAGCATCTGGGGCTATAATCATCACACGGTGGAGTAGTCACTCAGAAATCAATTATTAAGGCGGTGTCTCTGAAACAATACCTAACAAATATCAGTCTAAACAAATATAAATAGCATAAAAATACATATTAGGAAAATTATGTCCAGATACTTGGAAATTTCACTCTTGCTATGACCAACATGGGACAGGGTTCAGAATTGATGGTAATTACAGCCACAGCTCAATTCACATTTCATCACTAGTCTCCTGTAAATCTCGGTATATAATTAAACATCCTGTCACTAATTCAATTTGTATTTAAACATTACAATGATTTATATAAGCATCAGTTCAGTAGCAAAGGCTCTACCATAGTTTCACGGACAGCTGATATAAAATGATAAAACATTTCAGATAAGGTGATATGATGGCTGATACGTGATGGATACCTCCTCTATTCCGGCTGTGTAGAGGTATATTTTGAGATCATATAAGGAATCCCTAGAACCAAGAACCCTTCTAAATACAATAACGAGCCCAGCTGGTGATTTACTCTATGTTAAATACGATTAATAAAGTGATTGTTTTACCTTGTACTTTCTTTTTGGTGGACAGTAGATAATCTCATTGGAGTCAATTCTCTGTATAAGTAAGGCATCATCATCTCCATCAAACTCCATAAACCTGTCACTCGCCAAGTCTCGATCCATCGTCTCTTCACACTTCAAACATCACTGTAACTAACTTAGAGGAGGTCCATCACTGTCAACACACCAGGCGCCCCTCAGTACTCATCTTCGAAATGTAAACAAGTGACGGTCGCTGCCACAGAAAATGGGTACAACAAACAACAGCTGTTTCATCCCAACTTGGTATATTTTACTATGCCCAACTAAGAATTACCCATATTTTAGTACATTTATTATACAAAATATAGTAAATATAGGTGTATTATAATACTTAATCAATTAAATTATTTTAGTTTTAGTTTTATTATATGATTATTTAAACACTATTCGTTAATTAGTTCAGTCCCTGATATTTTACTACACAAAAACCATGGGTTCAAAGGACACGAAACTCTTTCCAAGATTTTTTTTTAGTTACAGCCAGTTCCCTGTAATAAATCTGGTTTGATTTAATGAAGAATTTCCTAAGAAAAAAAATATATACAAAATTTCGGAATAATACCTATCTTAGGATGGTTTATATCCTAAGTTAAGACAGATAACACCGGTTAACATACAAGGACAAACTATTCTAATGTAACAATTCCAGCATTCTCATGACGCTTGCTAGATTAACGAATATTATTAACTAATAGTCTTTTTTCGTGGCTTAACTAGCTATTTTATAAACTTGTTGGATGGACAGTAATTTTATATCCTCTCGAGAACCCATTTCATGCCAGATATGTAAATGTATGCGAATTTTGCTTTTTACCGTTTTTTAATTTACCCATAGTACTTCAGAATAGTAAAAGGAACCAAACTTACCTAGGAAATATTCTAGGGATCCTTAAAGAAAAAAATCAATTCATGACATCAGCTGCCGAGATGTTAACCAAAGAAGCATGGCAAATGGCTAACCTCCTCGACTTAAGTGATGAATCTCCATGATTTACAACAACTTTTCCTCAAGAATAAGGTAAGATTCTGAAGGATAAAGTGGCGTCAGGCATAATGAGAATTACATTTATTTTATATCGTTATAATTAGGGACAGCATCCAATGATTTCTGTTCTTTGAAGAGGAAAGTTGGTCTCCGTTAATTTGGTAAGGTGATGGTGTTTTATGTATTTAATTGTTTCAGTGGTCAGAATTTTAAAGGTTATTCGACAACAGCTTTAGGTTTATATAAGGTCATTGTGACAAGTATCGTAAATGTGACGCCGATGGAGGTTGGTGATGATATAACGGTGGCCGGTAATAAAGGTTAGGTTAGGTTAGGTTACCATCAGTTCTGCATATTCCTTTACTGAAACTGATTGACATATTAACCTTAAAAAATGTGAGAATTCGATAGTTAACTCTTCTTTTTTTCCTGTGACTTTTTTCCTGTGACTTTTTTTCTGTGACTTTTTTCCTGTGACTTTTTTTCTGTGACTTTTTTACCTGTGACTTTTTTACCTGGATTCACAACAACAGGTGACATAAGTGCCATGATCCAACTTGGTTTTAAATAAACAATAAACACGCGGTGACTTGGCATATTTTTTCGGGTAATTAATTTCTTCAAGTACTAAGTAGAGACATCATTTTAGTGTCATGATCAGTTTCCAACGTGTTTTACCCCGCAATTACCCTCATCCTTCATGTCCTGCCCATTACAGGTGATTTATGATCGTCAATGTGAAAACTAGAAAAAATTGGTGCTACTAAAGCGTGCGGTCTACATAGATGTTTAGTATAATCTAACCTAACCTAACCTAACCTAACCTAACCTAACCTAATCTAACCTAACTTAACCCAAATATCTTGTAGACCACACGCTATAGTAGCATCAACAAAATCTTAAAATTAAAATAAAAAGTTGTCGCCTCTTAATTACTAAAATGATAAGAACATCTGTGAAAAAAAAAAAAAAAATCGAACAACTCCTTCTGGTGGTTGTGCTGTTCTTAGAAATTACCACAAATTCTGTAGCACCTGAAGATTAGCCCACCAGCATATTTCTCTAAACGCTGTATGGGGAGGTTAGGTTAGGTTAGATTAGGTTAGGTTAGGTTAGGTTAGGTTAGGTTAGGTTAGGTTAGGTTAGGTTAGGTTAGGTTAGGTTAGCGAAGGCGTAATTCATCTTCAAGTGATATTAGTTAGGGTGTTAAGCTTCACGTAATCATAAAATATACATTAGTCCTGCTGCCAAATATATTAAGGCGCCGAATTAGTTTAGTTAAGGTATGGCAGGGCAAATATCACGTTATAAATTACATAAACATTATCCTAAGATTATTCCTTAACTACAATTAGTCATTTCCAGTTAGGTGATAAAATTAAGGAATTTATATAATAATACTATATATGATATTTAACAAAAAGATCCTTTGGTTGTAACCCATGCGTGATTCCTAGTAGAGAACTGCAAACTCGCTCTGACCACAAGACCACAGTACCTGGTATATACTCGTGGTCCCCAAAAAGTAGGAAATCAGATTTTTTTTTCTTTTGATTTATGACAATGACCGAGAGGATGAAAAATTAAAGAGGAAATAAATAATACTTAACGAGATGTGGATACAGTCTGGTAGTCTTTTATTTAAATCGATGAATTTTCAGACGGCTGTGTAGAAGGTCCTGGTGTGTCCAAATTTAGTGTTTGTGAGTGCAATGGGACAGCTTCACTTAGCGGAGAAAAACAACATTAATGCAATTGGAGGTGCTCAGAGGCGGACACCTGCTGAGAATCTGGAATGTTGAAAAATGTGAAAGTTAAGCATTGTGTAACTTGTTTCCTTCCAGAATTCAAGGTGATGTAAGGTATTTTGTTGTAAAGCTGAAGAAACGATTCAGAAGTAACGTTTGGGAAATAAATGGGAAGCTATGGTCGATCGAGATATGTAAGATTACAAAACTCTTTATCTATTTTACAAAGTCTGACCGATTTATTGTTTAATGTCACATGTCGTCAAGTACGTACACATACGATACTATACCGTGTGTGCGCCTATATGCTACAACATGAAGTAGTCACGTGTGTGTATGTACGTTTCACATGCATATAGGGCTTCACGTTAATTGATGTGTAAATACAATAACTGCAATAGTTTTTATCGTTTTTTTTGTTATGTACAATATTAACCCCTTGCTTTATGTATGTGTTTGGGTTTGGGCATGTATACGTTAGCGTTTATGTATACTTTACCTGAAAAAATCTTGTCCATTCTACAGCAGGTATTGGTCATGTTGAGGTCAGTTTTCAGCCACCCTTGTCACTGTGACCTCTGACCAAAGTTTTACAATACATTACAGGTGTTTTCCTGGGTCAACACTGAACACATCCACGAAATTGAACATCGAGTTTGAGAGATACGTCAAGAGGTTAAAATTGCTCAACACCTGCTATTGTGGTATGTTAATGACTTCTAAATTGGTTAATATTTTTTGACATGTTAGATTTGAAAATTGGTCCATCTATTAATGTAATATGTCAGTGATGAAAATTAACCGACCAGATTATGAGAAATGCCTAAGTATCATTAACTTTAACCTTTGAGACCTGACCTTGACCCTTTAATCTTGACATCCGACATTCAACTTTAACCCAATTACCCAGTTTTAAATCCCTTTCCTCTTGGCTGTCACTTAACCTATTCTGTACGTCTCTTTTAAAGCAACCATCGCACACACACACTATCACTTGGCACGGTTGAGAGGTAATATTATTATTAGTTTAGTTTAATCAGCAAACTAATTTCCGCCTTTTGTGATCTGACTGATGGATGTGTAGCTAATTGATATTTATGACCTTTGGATTACACTTCAGTATATGGACGTTTGGATCAATTAGCCCCCAGTTTATTTCATCTGAAGATTAAAACACCCTAACGCTACCAGGGAGGAGGTTAGGTTTGCTTAAAATAGGGATACGTTAGGTTAAATTAGGGTAGGTTAGGTTAGGTTAAGTTAGGTTAGGTTAGTATTAGGGGGTTAATCTAAAGGTGAAATAAGTTGAGGGGTTAATGGTGAGGTGATCCCAAAATTGTTTCAGGTTTACCTTTGTTTACGAAAGATCTGTATAAGTGGATATATATTGTTGTGCTCATCCTTCCCTCCTGCTTTCTACACTTTTATTGCATTATTCTTATTATTACCACACACACACACTCTTGATCCACCTCATATTACAATGGGAGATGTGGATTATTATTATTATTATATATATATATATATATATATATATATATATATATATATATATATATATATACTGTATATATATATATATATATATATATATATATATATATATATATATATATATATATATATACATGTTATATATATATATTTTTTTTTGGGGAAGTGAAAAGTTCTAAGTTCAAGGTATAGTTGCCTCACACTCGCTTTTCTTTTTCTTTTTGTATTTGTTCTTCCCTTTGTGTAAGTTTAGTTTATTATTCTTTATTTTATTCTATTTTACCATTATGACGTTGCGCTCAGGTCCTCAGGATACTTGAAGGCATTCCACAGGTGCCAGTCAATATTTACTGACTCATACAGTTTGACTTACAATAAGTGGGTGGGCATCTCTCTCTCTCTCACGACTCCAGTACCACCTCGTCCACGTCCAATGTGAACTAGTTGGTCTACCTTCCCTCCTCGAGTTTCACTTTCTCATACGTATTGCGCCATTGGCTGTCCCTAAAGAGAGCCCCAGACTGGACCAAGGCAACAGCTCCTGTACATTATCAGTGACCCCAAAGTGAGCCAAGGATAATGACAGCGACTCACTGGTTAACCTTGCCACCTTTTTACCATAGTCATGTGTCCCCAGGGTGCTTCAAGGCACTCCACAGATGCCAGGACTGACCTAAACAGCTCTGCCCGAATGCGCTGCCTTATTGCACAGCCAGTGAGAGGCCAATGGGAGGACCACCGTATTCCCACAGTGCCCAGACGGCTCCCTTTATAAGAGCAGTCCAGGCTAAGGTATCTCTCTTTATCTCCCACATACTCTCTTGTCCGGGTATCTCCTCTAACCCTGCAGGACACCCCGACTCCAGCGCCACCTCGCCGACGGCCCACCACTGCTGTAATACTACTGCTTGTGTAACCTCAGGCAAATAAAATAGTATGAAGTATTTGGCTCGTCTGTTTTCTCTCCGCGAGTTCCACTTCCTTATTCATTTGTATGTACATGTGTTGCGCCAGTGTGTGTGCACCTAGAGAGCACCTCGAGCGATCAGTGAAGGTCACAATGTTACTCTATAACGCTACACGGCAACATCAAGGTACTACTTCATAAACTTCTGCCCCCACCTCCCCTTACTTCACCCATTGGCTCCCCCCCTCATACGCTAGACATTAACCCCCCTTCCCCCCTAATACCATTACCTTGTCTCTCCATGTGCCAGGACACGCCCCCCTGAGGTGACCCGCGAGAGCCAATCACAAGCCATAAACTCAGTGACGTCAAGGGGCAGGGTCCCCTTTTTTAAGGGTGAAAGCCGGGAGATGAGTGCGCAGTTTCTCTCAGCCTGTATTGCCAATTGTTCTCCGGTGAATGATTTAAGAACATGAGTTAATTATCAATTATTTTTCTAATGTAATGAAGGCATATAATGACACGGGTCACTCGGTCATCTGACAAGTGATAATTCAATGGCAGCGGCGGTGATAACTTGCACCCATTGAATTTTTTTTTCGTCGTGAGGCAACTGAGAGCTGAGTGCTGATTGGGTGGATTTCTAGAGAGCTGAGCCTTGGTTGGCCGGTCTTGGCGGTGTGGTGTGGACTGGACCTTTGTTGTGAAGCTTACTATTTTGATCACCTGCCAAAGTCCGGTTATTCCCGTGTTGACGCGTGCCAGCACTCACAAAGTATGCATGAATATACATTTATTTCTGGGATGAAACACCGTAATTGCAACAAATTCAAACCATATGTTGAGAAATTGATCAGAAACGAAGGTGTTGATGCGTGTTTGTTGATGTGGTGGTGGTGGTGTTTGTTCACCTCAGAACATTATTAGTGATGGTGATAATGGTGGAAGTTATGGTAGTGGTTGTGATGGTGATGGTTGTGGCGATGATAGAGGTGGTGGTTGGTAGTAGTGGTGGTGGTGGTGTTAGTAGTGGTGGTTGTGTTGGGAGACCAAACGGAACAATGTAACTGAATAGCTTGCACAGGTCTCTCTCTCTCTCTCTCTCTCTCTCTCTCTCTCTCTCTCTCTCTCTCTCTAATGACTGCATCTCCCTATCTCCTCCCTTCTCCCTCCCTCCTTTATGGCTTATCATTCTCCCTCCCTCCCCCCCTCTCTCTCTCTGCTACTCTACATTTCCTCCCTTATTACCTCATTATCGGTCTCCATCTCCGTATCCCTCCCTCCCTTCCTCCCTGACCCTCCCTCCCTCATTGACCCTGCATCTCTCCCTCCCTGACCCACCTCTCCATCTATCACTATCCCTCCAACCCTTCCACCCTGACCCTCCCTCCCTGACCCTCTCCACCTGCAGTTAGTTACGTCGTAGTTTCCAGGTTAAGGGTCGTTCACCTTTAAATGTGTTGTGCATGAGACCTTCCTTTATCGATCCCTAACCTCGAACCCTGGGACTTGTGACTCTATTATGAGTACTCTCCCCACTCCCCCACTCCCAGGTGATGTATTGTGAGTATTTGTTCCCCCCAGGTGTGAGTATTGTGAGTATTTGTTCCCCCCAGGTGTGAGTATTGTGAGTATTTGTTTTCACAGGTGTATGAGTATTGACAGTGTTGTTTCCCCCAGGTGTGAGTATTGTGAGTATTTGACCTTTTGGGTGTGGTGTTGTGGTGTTGTTTCCCCCCAGGTGTGAGTATTGTGGAATGTTGTTCCTCCCAGGTGAGTGTGTGGTATTTGTTTTCCCCCCCAGGTGTGGAGTGTGTGAGTGTTGTTTCCCCCCAGGTGTGAGTATTTGAGTACTGTTTCCCCCAGGTGTGAGTGTTGAGTGTTGTTTCCCCAGGTGTGAGTATTGTGAATGTTTGTTCCCCAGGTGATGTATTGTAGTGTTGTTTCCCCCAGGTGTGTGAATATTATGATGTTTGGTTTCCCCCAGGTGTGAATATTGTGAGTATTTGTTTTTCCCCCAAGGTGTGTGAATATTGTGAGTATTTGTTCCCCCCAGGTGTGAGTATTGTGAGTATTTGTTCCCCCCAGGTGTGAGTATTGTGGTCAAACTTATCTACCTGGCTCTGTCATCATGATCATTATCTTGGGAGGGTTAATCTCATGACGTCAACGAAGGTCAATTAACTCCAGGGGGGGATTAAAGACCCTTGAGTTCCTATACACCCTTAGGGAAGATTTATAGAGAGATGCTGCTTATAAGTGGTTCCTTTGAGGTGCTCCTATGTGGATCTCTTGTGGTGCTCCTAAGTGGATCTCTTGTGGTGCTCCTAAGTGGATCTCTTGTGGTGCTCCTAAGTGGATCTCTTGTGGTGCTCCTAAGTGGATCTCTTGTGGTGCTCCTAAGTGGATCTCTTGTGGTGCTCCTAAGTGGATCTCTTGTGGTGCTCCTAAGTGGATCTCTTGTGGCTTGGTGCTCCTAAGTGGATCTCTTGTATGATGCTTTTAATGTAGATCCTTGTGAGGGGCTTTTAAGTGGATCCCTTCAATTTACTCGCTGACTTCAAGTAACGTGATTGAAATGGCGATGGTCAGGCGTATACACACACACACACACACCCCACACACACACACACACACACACACACACACACACACACACACACACACACACACACACATGACACACACACACACACACCCACACACACACACACATCACTTATATTTGCCCATATATTATTTGTAATTCCAGAAACCCATTCCCCAAATATGTGACACATGTATTTTTCAGCCTTCGGCTGCCAAGCTCTTTCAACTCAAACCGTTAATTATTATTATTGTGTGTACACACACACACACACACACGCACACACACACACACACACACACACAGAGGTTAGACCACAATGATCTCTTGGTTCTTAAGGTGTTTCAAGGGAGGACAAGTTGACATCACCCTCCCAGACAGAGACAGTTGTTACTCCTCCTCGACCACCCGATACCAGAGTCTTTTGACTGACGTTTAAGGACACAGAGAATCCGATCCTCCTCGCTGACAGAATAAAGCCTTCTTTATTTTGGCATAGACAGAACACTCAAATTAAACAGAAGGACAGAACTAATCAAGTAATATTATTGTGTGTGAGGGGGGGTTGTGTGTGTGTGTGTCATATGTATGTGTGTAAGTGTGTTGTGAGTGTGTGAACCCCAATTTTAAAGGGTTTAACTATGCAAATCTGACCAATATTTTTTGGACCACCTTGTATATCAATTAACTTCTTCCAATTCCGTCTTAGGTTTGAATTACCCTTAACTATACATGTGACAGACAAATTAATAATTATGTAAGCTTCCTCTAAAAGCTATTTACTCTTTAGGGAAGTTAGACTGATATATTGAGTTCATCGTCTCGAGATTTGGGCACGGGGCTGTGGTGGTGGTAGTGGTAGAGTTGTTGTTGATGGTGGTGGTGGTGGTGGTGATGGTGGTAAAGGTATAGAGGTGATGGTGGTAGTGGTAGAGTTGTTGTTGATGGTGGAAGTGGTGGTGGTGATGGTTAAGTTGCTGGTGGTAAAGGTAGTGGTAATGTTAGTGGTGGTAGTGGTGATGGTAGTAGTGGTAAAGGTGGTGTTGGTAGTGGCAGTGATGGTATCTATTGTTGGTGATGATGGGAGCCAATTTCACAAGGGAGGGTTTGCGTCAGACAGGCGTGAAGTAGGAGGATACACGCCCATTCATTGCGATACCCTGTGCACCACTCATCGTATTAGTGTGTGTGTGTGTGTTTGTCTGTTTGTCTGAATTTGTCTTCGGGTGGGAGGGAAGGTGGTAAGTGGTGTAGGAACGTGTGTGTGTAATAATAATAATAATAATTAACGGTTTATTGAAAAAGTTCTGCAGCCCGAAGGCTGAAATATACATTGGACAAAAATGACTTATTACATTGGGTGTGTGGGTCGTTTAACAAAAGCTTTCATTACTGAAAGAAGAAGGAACATGAATTGAACATACAATTTGTTATAGTTTACAGTTGATGGCCCGGGGCTGGGCTGGTCATGGAGACACCAGGTGGTGTGGTGTTCACGTGGTGCAGTAACTCGTCCTCGGGACGTGAGGGACCTCACGTGGTCATAGGGTCACCAGGTGGTGTGTGTGTGTGTGTATTTGGCTCTCACAGAAGTGGAGACTCGGCCAAGTGCTTACACTCTGACAGATGAGATTTCTGTCTTCAAATATAGACTATCTGAGGGACACACATCTTGCACAGTAAATATGTCTTCATGCACACGGGGGTGACTGAGGCTCTGGATTGGGTTTTTTTTGTGTGTGTGTGTGTGTTGTTTGGTCTTTATGAGAATGTTTGGTTTGTAAGATCACCTGAAGATTAGACACCGACCATCTTATTTCAAATTAAAATTAACCATCCTAACATTATCTATTCTAGGGGAGTTAGGTTAGGTAAGGTTGGGTTAGGTCAGGTTAGCATTAAGTTAGGTTAGGACAAATTGACATACACACATACACCAAGTTCCATGGAAATCTGTTGGTGTTTGTTTGAGGTGTCGTGTTTGTGGTGAGGTTCGCGTGGCACCTATATTGGGAATGAAAAATGACCTCACTGGACAATGATCTCACTGGACAATGATCTCACTGGACAATGATCTCACTGGACAATGATCTCACTGGACAATGATCTCACTGGACATTAGCATCTGGTGGGTCTGTTTCCTGCTCCTTGGTCGAATTACCTCAGTGTTTTCTTCTTGGCCATCGTAATAATACTAGTTCTTTCTAGATGTTTATTGTCTGTATAACTGCATTGTATACTGTAGGTGTATTCTGTATACCTGCACTATGTATACCTGTACAATGAATACCTGTATAGTTTTTCCAGCCTTAACTTATTTGACGATTTTTTGCTGAATTAATATATCTCATCTCTTAGCTACCTGGAGTAAGAGGAGACTGTGTCATACTACTCATTCAGAAGGTCCACTTAACGCACCCACGGAAGGACACACCCACGGACGGAGACAA